GGACACTTCACCGACACGCTCACGAAGGTCTGAAAGCTCTGCCTCTTAGGGTTTAGGTTTAGGGTTTATAGGGTTTAGGGTTTATAGGGACAAGTAAAAGACGAATATGCTGCGCATGGCGACTCGTTGCACGAAGGTGGCGGGCATTTAGGGCTTCGGGAAAGCCGACCTCCAGTCCAAGCATCCGCTTGACCTTTCAAAACCTTTGCGGGGAAAACACCCAAACCCCAATGACTCACATGCAAAAAATGGAAAGATGGTGCCAAGCCTCCAACCGTCGCCGGCCAGCCTTCAGGTCTGGGCTACTTTCAGAACTACACTTCTGAACACCAAGTCGGGAAAGGTGCACCCCTTGCGTGAACACACAAGGTCCTCGCACATCTGCACATCACAGAACCCCGATATCATAAACGCAAAGTCAAGAGGCTCCCCTTCCAATATCAAAAAACAAAAAGGCCTCCGCTGCTTGCTGTGCTGCCAGCGCCAAGACGGCATCCTGAGTGGCGGCCGCAGCCTCCGCCAGGGGATGCTGGGGGTGCGAAGGGCTTGAGGTGATTTAAGGCGGCTTAGGGCTTTTCTATACTCCCTTAATTAGACCCTTACTAACAACAATATGTTTAATATACTCTTGGGTTTTATATAAACAAAAATATATAAACAATTCCCCAGAGGGAATTAGTTTTAGAGAACTGGACTCGGGGTTGCAGGGGAGAGGGGACTAATGCCAACTAAGCCTTTGGTTGGATGTTCTAAGGCTCCGTGCTTCATGAGCCTCCCAGATGACCGGCCGTGCTGTCAGCTACACTGCGCACTTGCGAGCTGCTATTATTCTGCTATTCGACTTTCATCCCCCCATCATTTGCAGCCACCCTCTGTCTCTCAGGGGCACCTCGGCCTCTGAGCGCGACAGAGTTCCGGAGACCTCGGCAGCCTGGCACAGGACTCCACTGGAACCTAAATGGCAACCCCTAAGGCCCTAAAGGTCCCTATATAAGGAAGAGCCCCTATAAGTAACCCCTAAGTAACCTCTAAGGGCCCTAAGGTCCCTTAGAAGGTCCCCCGGCTACAGCGGCTCGAGCTTCGGACTGCTTGGAGTCCAGCCTTCTGTCATATTTTTGGCTTTGGGGACACGGTTTTAACTAGGTTTTGCTTGAATCATTGCATCTGTGGCCGCCTGCTTCTAGCCCCTGAAACCCTTCAGCCAACAACAAAACCCCAAAAAAACCATGAAGCACCAATTCTCCAAAGCTGATGCACTTCCCCAAACCTGATGCCCTGCAACACTCTCCGACCATGTCTTCCCAATTTACCCTTTGCCTCTTCTGAGTCGAAGTTACGACAAGCCCTTGGAATCCACTCATCCTCTTAAGCCCCGCCGTAGCCTGGGCCTCCGCCTTGCGCAGTGCCTTCTGAGACCTGATCCAAGCATCCTCCTGGCCAAGTCTTCTTCACTTCGGACTTCGGGGCGTGGAACCATTTTTGGGGGGCTAATTGGGGGGTTGACGAGAATAAGGGACCCTAAGACATGCCCCAAATACTAGGATCCCCTTTAGGAAACCCCCAATACGGTACCCCCCAATATCGTACAGCCCCATTTAAGGGATTTGAGGGCTTCAGCTTCCAGGATTGATGGCCAGGTCAATTTGCCCGATGTGGCAGCGTGCATACTTGCGGAGCTAAATCAACACGTTCACTTCATGGATTCATGGCCAGGATGAAAGCCAGCTCTGATTATGCTCTTGCTTCAAGTTTGCTCCGCACAGGACTTCATGAAGGCAAGGTGCCCTCAAACACATTCCAAACATCAGACTCTTGCAAGGACTCACCTTTGACCGACCTAGCCGAAACACACAATCAAGCCACTCAGACCACCTACTTTGCGGCATGCTAGCGCCAACTACACATGGCTGGCTTTGTGGCCTCTTTCCCCGAACGATCTGAGCATCTCCACGGAGTAAGCATGTTTCTGCTTTGTTGCCCGTGCGTCTGTTTCCGCCTGCACGGGGCGCCCTGTTTGGATTGTTTCGGGAGGGGGGGGGTGTGCGTGGGCTGTGGGCGGTCCACGAAGCGGGGGTGGTCTCCCCAGAGCCAACACCGGCCGGGTCGCGTAGGGGAAGGGCGTGACCGAATATGTGCTGTCTGTTGTTCCAAGACGCTGATCTAAGTCTGAACTGCACACCGCCAGCTGGGCGGAAATTGCCCACGCCTGCCCTAAGCCTCACGCGAGGTGAATGCCTAGGCATTGCGACGTGCCTCCTCCTCGACGTACCGCTCCGATGCCTGCAAAGCTTGCAGTCTTAAGTCTTTGCAGTCTCCAGCGCTCTCAGCAGGATGGCTTCCCATGTCCGCTCGTAAGGACAATGCGTCTTGATGATGCATGTGTATCCAAGAGGCTGATCCAGGTGCAATGGCTGCCGCATGAGGTCGAGGATTCCGAACATCGAAAATTCAAACCCTTCAACTCTGCACCCAAGATTCTGAAGCACCTAAGCCTGAATACTCGGCTTTTGAAGCTGATCAGAACACCTCAGAAGAAGCCACCCTCCTTCCGCTGCCTCCTTAGCACGCTGAAGTGCAGCCAAGCGGAGCTGCATCTGCTGGAGCTCCTGGGCGCAGACTTCGATGACTCCGATTTCGGCCGCTTTCTGAGGGCTGTCACCGGTTGCTTGGGGTTTCGTGTTAAGCTAGGAGTTGCTTTTGTTTCGGTTCCGTTTGGGGCTTGGGGAACGATGGGAAGAACTGTCCCTGAGTAGCAAGACATTTTGTTCTGCAGACTTTGTGGGAATGTTTGGATTCGTGACGGTGCTTAAAGGCTTAAAGAGTTTGGGCGGCTTGGCTGGGGGGCTTTGCTTGCAAAGAGGTGTAGCCCCGCGGCCTTGTCGCAAAAAGGGCAGGCTCTGGGCCCTCCCGGATAACGCCTGGTCCCTGGATCCGCCCCATTAAGCCAATCCAAAACGCACCTCCTCGTACGTCTCCGAAGCGCTCGCCCGGGCCTCGCGCGCACTTCAGGCATGGGAGATGCAAGGAAGGAGATGGAGGGTTCTGCAGGGCCTGCATGGTTCTGTCATATGGGTGGCTGTAAAAATTCTGGTCCCTTTTAAATTCCTATTATCATACGGCACCTAATATTTTAAGGGTACCCCAAAAGGACCATGATTTTGAGAACCACCCATATGGAGCCAAACAGTGTAGGGTTAGAGCCTGCCCTCTGCGTCTCCAGAGCTCGTAGCTGTGACGGACGACGAAGCTTCGACAGATGCGTTGCTGCAATTGTTGTTGGACTTGTTCTTGTTGTGGTCTTGCTCTTTTTGTTCTTCTTGTTATTGTTGTTCGTCTGCCTTAGTCTTCTTCTGACTCTTTTGATTGTTCTTCTTGTTTTTCTTCTTCCTCTTCCCGTCCTTCTTATTGTTCGTTCTCTTGCTCTCTTGTTCTCTTGCTCCTTTGCTCGCTCTTGCTCTCTTGCAATCTTGCTCTCCTGCTCTTTTGCTCTCTTGTACTCTTGTTCTCTTGTTCTCTTGTACTCTTGTTGTCTTGTTCTCGTGTTCTCTTGCTCTTTGGTTTCTTCTCTGATGTTCTCTTGCTCTCTCGTTCTCTGGTTCTCTTGTTCTCTTGTTCCCTTGTTCTCCCGAATGGGAAAGACTGCAAGACAGGTCTCCATCGCCACACTGATACAACGACGGAGCAGTTCTTCCAACAAGGCCCTTGCAACACACCGAAGGGGATTGTTCTGGCTCAGCATACAAACATCACCCCAGTTGAAGGACGAGCCTTCGTCGGAGATTCTCTTTCAGATCTCATCCGAGTGGAACGATTGTAAGGTCTTCATCGCCACACAGCTGAATTGCAACTGACACAGCGACGGAGGACTGCTTGCAAACAAGGCCCAAAACACGCAGGGACTAGGTCCGGCTCAACACAAAAAAACCACCCCAGATGAAGGATAAATCTTCCGTCGGACCAACGACGGAGCAGATCTTGCAACAGGGCCCTTGCAACACACCGAAGGAGGTTGTTCTGGCTCAGCATACAAACATCACCCCAGTTGAAGGACGAGCCTTCGTCGGAGATTCTCTTTCAGATCTCATCCGAGTGGAACGATTGTAAGGTCTTCATCGCCACACAGCTGAATTGCAACTGACACAGCGACGGAGGACTGCTTGCAAACAAGGCCCAAAACACGCAGGGACTAGGTCCGGCTCAACACAAAAAAACCACCCCAGATGAAGGATAAATCTTCCGTCGGACCAACGACGGAGCAGATCTTGCAACAGGGCCCTTGCAACACACCGAAGGAGGTTGTTCTGGCTCAGCATACAAACATCACCCCAGTTGAAGGACGAGCCTTCGTCGGAGATTCTCTTTCAGATCTCATCCGAGTGGAACGATTGTAAGGTCTTCATCGCCGCACAGCTGAATTGCAACTGACACAGCGACGGAGGACTTCTTGCAAACAAGGCCCAAAAAACGCAGGGACTTTTCTTAGGTCCGGCTCAACACAAAAAACACCCCAGATGAAGGAAAAATCTTCCGTCGGACCAACGCCGGAGCAGATCTTACAACAGGGCCCTTGCAACACACCGAAGGAGGTTGTTCTGGCTCAGCATACAAACATCACCCCAGTTGAAGGACGACCTTCGTCGGAGATTCTCTTTCAGATCTCATCCGAGTGGAACGATTGCAAGTTAGGTCTTCATCGCCGCACAGTCGGAGTACAACTGACACAGCGACGGAGCAGGTCTTCCAACAAGGCTCTCGCAACACACCGAAGGGGATTGTTCTGGCTCAGCGTATAAACATCACCCCAGTTGAAGGACGAGCCTTCGTCGGAGATTCTCTTTCAGATCTCATCCGAGTGGAACGATTGTAAGGTCTTCATCGCCGCACAGCCGGATTACAACAGACAGCGACGGAGCAGTTCTTACAACAAGGCCCTTTCCGCATGCCGCCGGAAATAGACCTGCCTCGGCACAATAGGACGACTTCCGCTGCAGGACTTCGTCGGAGGTTCGTTCAGGTTTCATTCTAGCAGGGCGTTTGCAAGTCGCATCATAGCTGCACTACAACTCACCACCGACTGGGCAACTGGGCAAAGCAAATGCCTGTGCCAGAAGGCCCTTTCAACACTGCGCTCAAGAAGGGTCAGGGTCCTTGTTGGCACACCTGGAGTGAGTGTAGGTGAGTGAGCGAATGAGGGGTGAAGCCTGAATCATCACCGGTCCAACCGTTTACGTGCCAAGTCCTTCGCACTGCATGCAGCACATCTGCTGGCTCAGCCATATCATCAAAAAGCTATGCGGCGTGCAGTCCATGATGGCTTTTTAAAAGTGCAGCTCAAGATGCAACGGCCACTATTTGAAGCAAAACTTAGCCGCCGGACACGTGGAGATTTCAGTTGCAATCACAAAAGATTCAATATAAAGCAACAGGAACTGCAGCAACGCTTGCACAACTAGCGCCACTAACCTAGGACCTAAGCTGTACCAGAACCCCACGAAACAGCCGATTTCGGAAGATCGACACTTGGTTTCAACCCCTAAGTAACCCTGTGAGGTGCTGCAACTTGTTTTCTGCCATGAGCCACGGCATCTGACGCATCACCGAAGCATTCCATGAGAACAGCCCCAAAGGAACAGAAGCTCTGCACAGACTCTAGAAGGGAAAAAGCAGCTTCCTCCCTTCCTGCACCGTTTCCTATAAGAAATAAGCACTGGTCTTCAATCCCTGTATACATAATCCCTATATAGCTTTGCTATATCCCCTACCCTAGAATCCTCCATTCAGGCCCCAACAAGTGCCTCCGTTCCAAGGGTCGATCCCACAGGCTTCGAATACGCCCTGCCATGCAAAGAATTTGGGGCACGACGCCCCAGACAGATTTCTGTTTTCCGGAGGATGTTGCTGCTGCGCCAATGAAGCCGCAAGCGGTTGAAAGAATTCGAACATCCTGCTGCCGCAAGGGTCCGTGCGTTTTGACTCAGACCACAAGCAACACAAACTGAGGGTGTATGCAATATGGGCCACCATGACAATGCATGAAGCATTACGGCTAGCCGCTTCGGAGCGACAGTCAGCATGATAGCTGTGGAGCAGACTCCACAGGGTTGCAGCTCTCTCACACCCCGATCATCGGAAGAGGATCACATGCAAGCCTCGAGTCACCAGCGACTGACACATGCTCAAGTTCAACAACCCTTTAAAACCTACCCTAGATAATGTTCGCAGGAGGCCTGGACGGCCTTGGGCGTCTGCGGCCTGCACTCATTCTGCAGGACGACGTTGCAAATCTTCGTTTCTGGTGTTGAGCTGCAGATGTCAGGGCACAGGAAATGGCTTTCGAACTTCCCCCGGAGGCTGGAGCTTCCGGGCACCTGACATACCCAAGCTGAAAAGAAAAGAATGAGGTCCGCGTGTTCCTACCGAAAGCATTTCGATGCCGTTATTGGAAACATGTGCACTTCATGGATTGTCGACAGCCAGGACCTCAAGGGATGCCTACAGCAGGATTCACAAATGAACCCGCGCGAGGCCAATGTCTATGACGACATATGCCACTCTGCTAGTCTTTCGCGAGGCAGAAGCCGCTTGAATTGTCAAAGCTGGATATTGACACAGGGCTTAGACACCAGTTTCAAATGTGAGTAAGAATGTCAAGACAAGGTCTCTGCAAACGATATTACCTCGCGGTTTGTCCGCAGCCCGCAAAAGAAATGCTTGCAAACGGTCGCTGCCTCAAGCTAGAGATTGTGGCAAAGGGTGTTGACGCTGCAGAAACACTGTGCTTCTGTTCCTACAAAGTCGTCAGCGTTGCTTCTGGCCCCAGGTCACAAGAGAACCATCGACACGAATTGCAGCAAAATCCGAGCCGTTGGCTTGGATCTGCTGCACACCCTGCAGCTCATCTTGGACAAGACTGCTGTCGCTGTCTCCCCAGGTCACAACAGTGCCATTGCCCAAAATCGCAGCAAAGGCAAACGGAGATGCTTGGATCTGCTGCACGTCCTTAAGCTGACCTTGGACGGCCCTGCTATTACCACCACGGCCATCATCGCCCCAGGTCACAACAGACCCATCGCCCAGAATGGCAGCAAAAGCGTCGCTCGTAGCTTGGATCTGACGCACGTCCTTGAGCTGGTCTTCCACCTCACTGCAGTCGCCACCGCTGCCTTCATCACCCCAGGTCACGACGGACCCATCGCCCAGAACGGCGGCAAATGCGAAATCGGTAGCTTGGATCTGCTGCACATCCTGCAGCCGATGTTGTGCGTCACTGCTGTCGCCGCCGCTGAAAGAACGGCCCCAGGTCACAACAGACCCATCGCCCCGAATGGCAGCAAACGACACCAAAGTTGCTTGGATCTGCCGCACGTCTTTAAGCTGATGAGCGACCGCACTGCTGTCACCACCACGGGCTGCATTGCCCCAGGTCACAACGGACCCATCGCACAGAATGGCAGCAAAAGCCGACATGGTGGCTTGGATGTGCTGCACGCCCTTGAGCTCATTTTGGACAGCACTGCTGTCACCACCATTGTCAGCATCACCCCAGGTCACAACAGACCCATCACCGAGAACGGCAGCAAAAGCTGTGTTGTGGGCTTGGATCTGTCGCACGTCCTTCAACTGGTCTTGCACAGCACTGCTGTCTCCACCATGGTCAGTGGAACCCCACGTGACCACAGACCCGTCGTCCAGAATGGCAGCAAATGCTTCCTCAGATGCCTGGATCTGCTTCACGTCCATCAGCTGATGTTGCACACGACGACAGTCCGCAGCGCCCCAGGTCACAACAGACCCATCGCCCAGTATAGCAGCAACGCCCACCCCAGATGCTTGGATCTGTCGCACATCCTGCAGCTGCCGTCTGATATCCCCCCCCCCTCGCGCCGGGCGCCAAGGATCGCTGCAAAAGCAGCAATGTTGGTGTGAACAATGCTGCTCATCTGCAAGGTGAGCACATCACCACTCCGCAACCTAGACTCCCCAAGAGTGGCTGCTGAGTTCAGAATGCTTGCAGAAGAGTCCACGAGTCGGCCCCGGCCAACTTGCAGAGTCTGCTGTGCCCTGTTGTTGAACGAGCCTACCCACTCCTCCTCTTCTGCTTCGAGTGACGCTGTCCTGCCACTTAGCAGGCTCACCTGAATGGTAAGGGGCATGGTGCTACGCAGGCAACCCTCACTCCGACAATGGTTCTCGCCTTGGGCCAATCGCCTCAGTGTTCAAGGGCTTTAAGGTTCGGACCTGGCACTTTACGATTCGATAAAGTTTCGTATTTGGGGGGGGTGGGGGAAATACCCCAGATTAGGGCCGCCCTGGCCTCTTTCTCGGCGCGCAGTTCCTGGAAGAGCGTGCGCTGCCTCGTCTCTGCATGCCGCACCTCAGCGCTGTCTACTCTCAGTGAAGGACAGTGGGGTTTGGGGTTTGGGGTTTAGGGTTTGGGGTTTGGGGTTTAGGGTTTAGGGTTTAGTTTAGTGGGGACGGCGGGCATCATACAACTCGTCTCTACAGCAAGCCGCGCAAGCCGTGAAGTGGTGGCTTGAACTTCTAAGACTCCACGACACCCCAAGATACCCCAACCCGCCCCGACCCTGAAGCCAGAAACCTCCCCAAAATGGAAGTACGCGTGAAGGGTACATTCCAAAGTTCAGGGATCTTGGGATGCCAGTTCATCCTACTCAGGAACTGTGACCACAGCTCGTTTTGCCGTTGCTTGTGATTCACGGAATCTCCACGCGGCCTAAACACGAGCGGGGTTCCCTGCCCAAGTCCCAACCTTACTGTTGGTTAGTAGGGAATTGGGGGAATGAGGTACCCTCTTTAATCCCTTCAAGGGTATGATATAATATAGGGCCCTCATTCCCTCTATAATCCCTTAAAGGGCATATATGGGGCCCTCTATAATCCCTTAAAGGGTATCTGTAGGGCCCGAATTCCCTCATCCCCTGCCAGCCGACAGAAAGCAACCGCAGCCGGGACCCAGGCCCGACTGCGCGCTTCGGTGCGCATCGCGGCCATCCCGGTCCTTGAGAGGGTTTAGGGTTTAGGGTTTAGGGTTTAGGGTCTAGGGTTTAGGGTTTAGGGTTTAGGGTTTAGGGCTTAGAGCCCCCTTCTCTCCCCACCGTGTCGTGACATGCTGCGAAGCCCCCCTTTTTCAACGGAGCACTCTTCTCGCCGGAAATGGGGGGCTCGGAGCTGGGCCCCTGGCCTCTCCAGGCGCTCCCTGGGCTCCTTGAACTCCTCGGGCTCCTGGGGCTCCTGGAAAGGACTCCCAAAGAGTCAGTCCGCCCCCCCCCCTCTTTTGAACAACCCCTCCCCAAACAAAAAAACCAAAACAGAAGTAGGAACTATAGGACAAATTATGGACAGATCATGTGACGTGGAGACTGGGAGGGCGATGGACAGATCCTTCGAGGAAACCCTTCCGGGCTGAGGGCCGGGGGCAAACCTTATTCTGCGAGCTCCTTGGGTTGTGTGCGCCACGCTGCGGGTAGAGGGTTTAGGGTTTAGGGTTCAGGGTTTAGGGTTTAGGGTTTAGGGTTTAGGGTTTAGGGGCATTCTTCGATGTCCTTGGGCCCTTGGGGCTTTTTCAGGGTTTGAGGGTGTTCCCCCTAAGTGCTGCGGGCGAGGATGAGGTGGGCAAGCAGGGGGCGCCATGGTTTCAGACGATGGGGTCAGGGTGGGCCCCAGCGACTCGTGGGGCTTCTGCAGCATTTCTCACAGCATGATCCCAGAATGCTTAGGGTATTGGGTTGGGGTTTAGGGTTCACAAAAAACAAAAAAATCCAAGAAAAGCTCGACTTCCTCGCGCAAATCACAATCTCCCGATCCTCCTGCTGGGCACACCCCGGCTGAGCGTGGAGGCCTGCTTTCTCGGCAGCCTGGGCAGTGGCTAGGAAGAGACACTCAAGGCTGTCCAAGTACTCCAGAAGATCCATCATCAATCGCAGTGTTTAGAAGCTGCTCCCTACAGCACAAAGGGATTGCATGAAGGACAGGCTTTGACTCAGGATAAACGACCTTGATACCTGCGTTTGTACCCTTTCCCAAGACCCTCAATGCTGTGCCCACTCTCAATTTTCTAGATTTCTTTTCCCCACGGCCACATACAACCGCCAAGAACTGCAAGATTTGCGAGGCCTCTGTCACGGCACGCTGCGTGCGCTCCGATTGCCGGAGCTCTGCGTGCGCCTCCTGACGGCTCACCCTTTAGGAGACCTTCTTTACGGGGGTTTGCTCTGAGTTTACGGAGTTACTCTGAGTGTACTGAGTTTGCCGAGGCGAAAAAAAACATGATGACAAGCATGTCAAAGCTTCAAGGCCCGGCCCACTCTGGCCCAGCCAGGGACAGAGTGAACTGAGAGCAGCCTTACGATTCAAAGACTTCTTGAATCTCCTAAAGACGTCTCGTCCAAGACCCCCGATTCAATCCGATGCACTAGAAGATCGCCTCCCCCCCCCCCCCCCCAAAAAAAAAAAAAGAAAGCGGGGCCTCGCCTCTGTCCGCCTTGCTGCTGCGACCTCCAGAGAATGCTATTACTTTCTGTGTGTGGAATCTGACAGCAATTCCAAGAAACGCCGAACTGTTCTCCTTCTTAAACGTCGAGCGGAGGTCTGCGGGAGGAATTGAATCAGACTTTAAAAAGTGTTCTTCAGACTTTGACGGACTAACGGGGTCTAGGACCACCATGACCGTGACCACATTCCCCTTTCTTTAGGGTCCATCGCACACGGCCCTCAAGGTTGCGATATGTTGCGATGTTGCGGCTGCTTGGATTGAGTTTACATGCAACTTCCCCCAGGACACGCGGGCTGTCAGCCTGCTCAGACAAATTTTTGAGCCACCAAAGAAATAAGCAGCACTGAATCCCGAAAAAACTCAACCTTTCACATCTAAACGCCTGGAGCCCTAACACCCTGAAAGCCTTTGACCCGGGCACTTGCGATCCTTATCCGCAGACCTGGAGTTTGCTCTCCGCTCGCGCAGCCACCAGGGCCTGCCATGAACGTCTAAGCTTCCGAAGCTCAATTGGCGTAGGCCTTCTTGTTGATTCTGTGGTTTGGAAATGGGAATGCGCTTGACCAAAATGGTGGTTACACTTTTTTTTCCGGTACGACCTCCAACCCAGAACTTTGTGGGTCTCTGTCGCAGGGGATTGCTGAAGCCGTTGTGCAAGTGTGTGGAACCCAACCACAGAACCTTTTTAACCAAACATCCGGCGAGCCACAATGCCTCAACGCCCTCCCTGCTTCGTTTCTCGCACTTTGCGGGCAAAGCGCAGAAGAAGGAAATCTGAAATGTAGGATATCGCCAGGTTTCCGATGAGGACCCCCCCCCCGTCCCGCAAGAGTGCCTGGCGCAAGTTCATGGTCTCCCTGCGGAGCGCTGGAAGCTGCTCTAACTTGGCCTGGCTGGGACTCAGACGCTGTTGCGAGATGGGGGAGGGGGGCGTCGGTGCTTACTTGCTGCACCACGTTTCCCTGTGCAAAAACATGACACACCAGCGTGGTCGTTAATGTCAGCTTCAACAAGCTGGGTAGTTCAGAGAGACCCCCCCACGTACCACAAGATGCGCATCGTCCCTGAGATCGCTCGTACACGTGTAGCCGTCGAGCGTTGCTGAATGAAGAATATGACCGGCTTGGCAACGAATGCTGGCACCCCAAGCAACTCTGTTTTCACCCACAGCCGTCTCAATCCTTGCTCCAACTTCTTTCTTGCTTGCATTGCTTCTCCTTCCCACCTTAATTTCAACTGCTTCTGCTCTCCACCCTCGGTTGCACCTGTTACGCGGTTAGTGACCTAGGGCCCCTTGGAATCCGAAACCCATACCTGGCCCGCGGAGCGCTGTGGCCGCTGGATCCCCTCGCTCCTCGGCATCCGCCAGCCGTGCGGCGAGCTGCGATGCCTGGGTTCCAGGAATACAAACTTGCTGGGCTTGGGATCGAAACCTCCAAGGTGTGGAGGTCATATGGGGGGACATTCCTAAACCCTAAACCCTAAACCCTAAACCCTGAACCCTGAACCCTGAACCCTAAACCCTTGGTATGCCACCTTTAGAGTGCTGTCCTTCCTACAAGAGCTCGAACAATCGGGCCTGTGCCGCTGCGGCTGCTTTTGCTTCGGACTCCGCCTGATGTGGCAGCCGAAACTTCCAGGGCCACTTTGAGGCTTAGGCTTCAGGGGTTCAGGGGTTTAGGGGTTGGGGTTTGGGTTTTAGGGTTTAGGGTTTAGGGTTTATAGGGTTTGGGGTTTAGGAGCTTAGGGTTATAGGTCCTCGTAAAGCTTGCTAAGGTCAGGAATGGGGAGGAGTGGTTTTGCGGGCTTTGGCCTTCAAGGTGTGGTTGCCAGCCCTTGCAAGGTCAGCACGTTTCTTTGCTTTCATCGCAATGGACGCGCAGGAAGTCCGCTACGAAAGGGTGAGATCCAAGATCATCCGAAGAGGTCGAAGTCCATCTCCTCCTTCGGAAAGCTTGGACTGCAGAGCTGCACAACCTGATCTTCGGAGGCTTACTGTACTGACTTCGAGCCGTAGAGATTTGGGGCCTTTTGCCGCAATCCTAAACCCTGAGCTTCAACTAAAGGTTGACAATGGCTGTGGAATTACGACCATTACTGTCCCTACGGTTTCAGTTTGGCTTAAACGAGTCTCCGGCTTTTTTGGAGGGGGGTACCGACCACCCCAAAAGTCAGCGGGGTGGGCCTTGGGGCTTCGGAAACGGCTGGGGCCTCCGAACATGCCGCAAACGCCGCAGCTGCCGTGGTTTTCGCATGCTTGTGGACATTCCCGTCTTGAAGCCGCTACTGGTCGGACCCATAACCAAAATCACCTCAAGACCCCAGCACCCTGACATCGCACAACCACATCCCTCATGATTCCGAAGGCTCCCAAGGCCAAAGACCCTTAAATCGGCGAAATGCAAACAAACATCTCCTCCTCTTCCTCTTCCTCGACCTGTGCACCGAATTCTCAGCAGAGAGGAAGCTTGCATAGTATACAGAGTGAGCCTCAACACGGGCTATACACGCGGTTGCGAGCGAAGTCACATCACCCTGAACCATCAGGAAGACATATGTTGACCCGACAAGTGCACGCGCAACACACGCATCTTCTCGACACATGCAAAGTACGCATGTGTCACCGCACGCCTGAGAGGGGAGCACATTTCTCTAACCACTCTGGAAGCCTCCATTTCTTCCACATTTTTCGGGGAGCCTCAATATTTCCTTTGTATTGTGGTCTGTATTTCGTTTCCATGTTAATCGCAGACCTCTGTTTTTGCAGCAGAAAAGCCCCAACATGCAAAAGTGGAGGGGAAAGGAGGACGCGTTTGGCCAGCTCACTCACTCATGCCCTCCCCTGTGTGTGTGTGTAGGCGCGCGCCGCGCACTACTACAGTATCTAGTCAGGAAGCTTGGCATTGGCAGCGGCCAAAGGCTTCAAAGATCTGATGCTGCGGCGATAAGTCAAAGCAGAGCTCTGCGCCCACTCCTAAACCCTAAACCCTAAGCCCTGAAAAAAAAAACCTTCTGCCACTTCTGCGCCTTCTTCTTCTCCTCGGCAGCGCCACCGGCATCTCCACCGGCCGCGGCAGCGCCGCCGCCTCCACCGGCCGCAGCACCACCGCCGCCACCGCCTTCGAGGTGTAGGGTTTAGGGTTTAGGGTTTAGGGTTTAGGGTTTAGGGCTTAGGGCTTAGGGGTTCGGGCTTGGGGTTTAGGGTTTAGGGTTAGGGTTTAGCGTTTAGGGTTTAGGGTTTAGGGTTAGGGTTTTGGGTTTAGGGTTTAGAGTTTGAAGTTTAGGGTCTAGAGACTAGGGTTTAGGGCTTAGGATGTTCAGGGATGTTACCAATGATGTTCCGGCTTCAGGGTGCGAAGGTTAGGGTTTCGGGTTTGGAGCTGTTACATGGTTCCCCTTATACTAACACTCCTTAATAGGGATTCTAGTACCCCCTATTCTAATCCCTACTAATGTGAGTATAAATGGGGAACATCCGAACATTGAGTGTTTGTGCAGGTTTTTAAGGGCAGGTCTACCCTAAACCCTAAACCCTAAACCCTAAACCCTAAACCCTAAACCCTAAACCCTACACCCTAAACCCTAAACCCTAAGGTTCAGGTTAGGGTGCCGAGGATGCCTCCACCGGCGCCGCTACCAAGCTTGATGAGCGTCTCCATCCCAACCTGGGTTTAGGGGTTTAGGGGTTTAGGGGGTTTATGGGTTTCTGGGTTTAGGGTTTAGGGCTCAAGGAAAGTGTAGGGTTTGAGGCAAGTTTTAGGGGTTGAGGGGCTTAGAGGTTTAGGGGTTTAGGGGTTTAGGTGTTTAGGGGTTTAGGGTTTAGGGTTTAGGGTAAGGAAAGTGTAGGGTTTATGTGTTTAGGGGTTTAGGGGTCTAAAGTTTAGGGGTTTGGGTTTGGGGTTGAGGGTTTAAGGTTTAGGGGGGAATTCGGGGGCTGGATTGAGGGATTTGGGGATGCAGCAGTCGAAGCTTTTAGCACGGTCAGAAGACTACCTTAGAGTTGCATCTATGTGATGCCAAGACGGCTCTGTCTAGAAGAACGGGCCCGAACGACTTGCGCAATTTGATCTGCAGCCTTCTGCTGTCATGCTTATGCTTAACCTCTGGTGCAAGACTGTCTCGCTCGAAACATGCTCCTTCACACTAACCCTCGAGCCCAACTCTTCCCCGTCACACAATCGGCCCACCGCAGCTGCAAAGCCAAGATGCGTTCGAGATCATCTTGGTCTTAGTTCATCAGCGCAGGCTCTCGGGTGTCACTTAACAAGTGTGTTCTCTGCGTTGGCTGCGTAGACTTTCTTGCATCGCTTACGACGATAAAGGCCGGTTGAGGCTTGTGGCGGCTTTTGTGGTTCTGGCTGCGGTGCTCACTTCTAGTCTAGGCCATATTTCGTCGAACGGGTCGGGAACCGAGGGCCTTAGGGGCTTGGGCTGAGGACTTGTAGAACCCCACGCGAAGACTACAACCCGGCAGCGACGGCGGCGGCGATGGCGACAGCGACAGCGACGGCAACGACGAAGGCGACGGCGAAGGCGAAAGCGACAAGGACAACTTTTCATACTTTTATTCCTTTAATTCCGCTAATTGCTTTAATCTCTTTACTCCGACGCCAAGGGTATGCCCGCGCATCGATGTTTTGGGAGGGAATGAGAGCAAATGTGACCCACTAAGAAGCAAGGCCCTTAGGCCCCAAACCCTGCGACCAGTAACCCGTAAGAACTTGAAGCCGGAACAATTGTATGACCGAAGCTTCGGACCGTAAATCAAGCGCCACGGCATTTCCTACAACTTAAGCGTCCCTGCAAATCTGATACGGTCTGAACGGTCTGGCGATCAAGCAGGGCTGTGGACTTTGGCTTAAATCTCAACACTCTGCGCCAACACGAAAAAGCACCCAAAACTCCTCTGAAATCCTAAACCCTAAACCCTAATGGTCCAAGCCGAAGAGCCATGAGCATAGGCCAATAACCTTCAACAGAGCAGCCAGCAGCCTGGACCGGGGCCGAGTTAGATTTGGGGTTTAGGGTTTAAGGTTTAGGGTTTTGAGTTTAGGGTTTAGGGTTTAGGATTTAGGGTTTAGGGTTTAGGGTTCAGGGTTCAAGGGTTCCTTGTTATAAGGGGATCCTTCGTAAACTCCCATGTCGCTCTGAGCATGTTGAGGGCATGGTGCTCATCTTCCCCCTTTGGCGAGCATGCTAAGAAGGTTCTTTTTCATACAAAAGCCGGGCAGAGACATGGAGACCTAGAGTTGAAGCTGTTGTGGCCCGTTTCGGTCCAGAAGTGAGCCCTGAACCCCAAACTCGCGCGCAGACCCTGAGGTTCTAAGGGCCGATGGAACTAGCTTGATCTCGGTGACTCGTCTCCGGGTGTCATCAAATGCTTCAACCGAACTGAACAAGGAGTTTCTATTATTGCCCTGACCCGAAGAACAGTCCCTAAGCCTCACATCCTCATCAGCCATGTGCACCCTAAAGCTGCACACCCAACAGGCGGCCCCAGACACGAAATCAGGGAGCCTTGATGAGGTTGGTCATGGCCTGCGGCGTGATCTCCTCGGCATCGGGTCATCGAGCCATGTTGTACCGCACAAGATGTTTCGTACCCCCCTTACACCTCGGACAAGCCTTGATCCCGACCTACAACCTCTCGCCTCGATCCTTAAAGCCTGCAACCTAAACTGCAGGCCCAGCAGGAGGTAGTGGCGCACGTGTTCACGGCGGCCTTCAGTGGGGGTTAAATCAGGTTTGGGCTTTACAGGCATGAGGCTTTAACAGTAAGCCAAGCCGCCGCGCCATCATCGTGCAGGATCAAGGCGGCATAGGTGCACAGCAGCTCGTCCTGGGCAGATGCAACTGGTTTAGGGTTTAGAGTTTAGGGTTTAGGGTTTAGGGTTTAGGGTTTGAGGGTTTGAGGGTTTGAGGGTTTGAGGGTTTGAGGGTTTGAGGGTTTAGGGATTTCAAGGGTATCGAGCAACATCCAGCTGCACCATGTGTGGTCACACGCGCCGAGACCAGAAGCAAACCGAGCATGGGCCCAGATTCAGGCTTCGGGTGTATGATCGACCCTAAACCCTAAACCCTAAACCGTATTTCTCGTCTAGGTCTCTTTGGCGCCGTATGGCAAAAAATTTTTTCTGCAAAATTATGTCTAAATAGCCTAAGTAATTACAGCATAAACTAGTGAAACACGTTCAGACTTGTCTCAAGGTTCTGTCAGAGGAAACGTACACAAAGCAACCCACGTTGTACATGCTCTCTTTTTTGTGATGTAAAATAGCACCTTGGATTTATGCGCTTACAGTATGCTTCATAGACCTGGGACTCCTGTGACCAAAACTCACGGCGGCACATCAGATAGCAAAGGAGCGTATACAACTTACTGCGTTCTACTGATACATAACCTGAATCAACCAACTGCATGACCAGAATCAACCAAACCTGCAGGAAAGCTACTATTTGCTCCCCGAGCATCATCAAAAGAATAGCAAGATATATAGGACTAGCAGACATGTCTGAAAGTATACACCAAAAAAGACACCAACTGATGATGCCATGTCAGAAGCAAACTGGATCTGTAATTACAACTCAGTATCACACCATATGTAAAACGTGCACTGTCAACATCAGCGCTTTGGCAGGATGTGCAAATTCTCAAAAGCCGTGTTCGTTTGCCAAGAAATACCAACTCAAATGAACACGAGGGCGGCCGGCGGATGCCCGATGGTTCCACTGGGCCACGGAATTCGCCCGAGATACATCATTTCACGGCACGCCCCCCCCCCCCTCCCCCCCCACCCCCCCGCCCCCCCTTATCATCACAGCAAGCAAGCTGCCGCTTCAGGTGGATATCAAAGGCTGGCTCTCGTGAACATGCTCTTAAAAATGCCGTGCAAGGCGCCTGCTGCTCCTTGGAGAGCTCATCTTTGGGAACGCCGGCCATGGCCTCGGGGGGGGGGGGGGGGGGGCAAAACAGGTCCTAAGCGCGTCAAGGCGAATCTACAGACCATCCTGATGCACACCGGGCCTATGCCCTGCGAGCTCACCGGTGATTTTGGTAGTGGGCAGCAGGCTAGAGCTCTAGAAACCAAACAACTTAGATCCCATCTTCTTATTCCACGTGTATTCAAGGCAATCGCTTGCTTGACACAAACATTTCAAAGCTGACAACACGTCCTGCAGTCTTAGCCTTGCGAATAATTATCTGGCACAGGAGCATCAGCACTTGAGCGCGCTATCCCGAGCCCCACCACTTCACCGTGAACCCCAGCACCACCCCGCTTGCCTTCAGATGTTTCTTCCTGCGTGCCCAGACGACGTCCGCTGAGCCGCTAGAGTGGGGAAGTGAGCCGGCGGCGACGGAATCGGACCGTGGTTCTGCTTTTGACTTGTCACCCAAATCCCTGAACCTCAACAGCATAAAACCTCCGAAGGTCTGCAGGTTTGGGTTTGCAAATGCAAGGTTCAGGTGTACAGGACATTGGCACCCTTCCGGCTGATCCACGTAAGTTCTTGGCGCAAGCTACCTTTGTGCTTTGTTTCCGAAAATGCAGCTGACGCAGAACAGACTTCTGCAAACTGCTCAAAGAGCTTGTTCTTCTCAACAGGCCTTTACAAGCCTGCACAGTCCATGCAGTTCAGGACGCCCAACAAAACTTCAGAGCTCCCCCCGAACCTTTGCAAAAAAGGGTTCTGCCGAGTTCTACCCTTGATCCTTTGTCCTCGCTTTAATGTCGCGTTTGGGAATCGGCGCTGTTAAGCGTCCAGCCACAATGCTTCAGATGGACTCAACGACGTGCCTCTAGGCCCATGTTAAAATTGCCATTTCCACAGCACCTGATATTTTTCACCCAACTCGACACCCTGATACAAGACACGACATCTGAAATCCACATGACCCCTATTGCTCAGACTTAACCCTCAGGACTGTAAACCAACACAGTGGTCTCTCCAAATGCACCTTCAGCCGGCTGTGGGCGTCTTTGAGCGAAGTCCTCAGGAATGGAACGTCATCAGCTCATTCTTGAGGTAGCTTAAGCTTACCGATTGGGAAGCAAGCCAGTTGATGTAAACCTCCGCACTTTTTGCTGCAAGCTTCCGCTAACCGGTCAAGTTCGCAACACGCCGAACAAGTCCGGCAAATTTTGACTGGTTTCTGTGAAGGCCGTCAATTTGTCGACGCTCAAATGGTCGGGATCCGAGACTGTTTCGGGCCCCGCCACTGGGCCCCAGCAGTAAACAATGGTGGTTGACAGCCTGTCAACTTGACAGATGAAAAAAGTTCCATTCAGGTTACCGGTAAGGAAGAACAAGTAAGGACAAATGTTGTTAAAAGGACACCCAGCACCGTTGTCCGGCGTTGCGTCGGGCATGAGAGGCCCCATCAGAATGTCATATCAAATCAACCGATATGAACGAAGTGTAGAAACATATAGATGTACACACGCATGAAGATGGTTGTCTTGGCAAACCTTTGTAGTGGAGCTCACAGATCTTCGATGCCCCCTAACATCCCTAACGACCTGCCAGGGACCTCCAGGAACCTCGAGGGACCAGACCGCTACGGGACCAGCACCCTGAGACAGACAGCTTTTTGGCTTGGCTTCGAGACCAGCTCGGACCTAGGACGGACCCCCTCAGCAACCGCTGTCGAGCTTTTCCTGAATTTTTCCGGGCTGATCACAATAGCGACGTCCACAATTATGCAATTTGGGATTTGGCTGCGGCATTGCCATCGCGGCTTGGTCGAAGTCGAAACGGCCAGACCGGGCACCCCGGCTGCAGGCGCTTGGCTTCGCCTCGCAGTCGCTCCCGCTCGCGGGACTGCCCCGACCTTGCGGGGAGGTCAAGAGGGAGCGAAAAGCGCATTTGCAGGGAGATTCGTTCCTGCGTGTACGTGGGCGCGGTGTGGGGGTCACAGCCAGAATTGCAAAGCTAAGCTTGGGCCCTAGACAGTTTTTGGCGTTGGGGCTTCCGGCCCGAGTTTGGGTCGGCCACCAGCCCAAGCCCTACCACCCTAACAGACCCTAACCCGGAAGCCACGAACTTAGGGTTCAGTTTGGGCCGTGGGGCATAGAGTCGAAGATCCCATGAGGCTTGAGCAGGCGAACAGTTTAAAGCTTTCTTTCGACTGAAGGCATCAAATTGCTCCGAAGCCGTCACAAGACTTGCACAGTGTGTCGATGTTTATGGAAGACTTGTCCTTGGCAAACACTAGCAAAGTGTCTGATCTACTGGGTCACAGTAGGTGTCTCCCAGTCTCGACTGGCACGATGCTGTGGAGCTCGGACATACATTCACCCCTGGAAGGCATGGGCTGCACGGCTGTGTCCCGCTGCTTCGTCCGAGCCCCCTAAACCCTAAACCCTAAACCCTAAACCCTAAACCCTAAACCCTAAACCCTAAACCGTAAACCCTAAACCCTAAACCCTAAACCCTAAACCCTAAACCCTAGGGTTCCGAGGCATGCGCCGGAGGAGGATGATCTCGTTGCCTACTTTGCAAAGATGCGGGTGCCGTCACACCAGTGCGATTCAAAACTCATACCGTCGACCACACACCCGGTTGTCACATTCCTCATGGCACCAGTTCCGGAACTCAGGGTAGTCCCTTGCAACACACATACGCGTCATACGCATGCGTGAACAAAACCATGGGCCTAAGCCTCCCCCAAGGGGTTTTCTTGCAACGTGCTTCTTGTTCGATGCGTTGGGCCATGAGCACTCAAGGGGGCACACAGTTGGGAAGGGTCGTTCATGTGCTTGCAGAAGGTGTTCATCGGTCGTGGGAGCTTTAGCTGACGTTAGTTGTTGTTTAAATGCCACATTGGCACACAATGAGCGCGGTGGATTGCGTGATACATGGGAGTCTAGACGCGTTGTCCGCCGACTTGGTCCTTTGTAAAGCTGGCTATCAGTTAGTATTGCAAAAAGGGCAATAGCTAACAACATGAAGGACGTCCAGCTGACGCAGCCAAAAAAACTGCATCAACCGTGGCGGCGTGTTTGGCACGCTTGGGCCTTTTGGATCTCCCTGACATCGAATGTATTTCCCTGCCAGTGTACTCAATGGCCGGCCCCATGGGAAACAGCACGCAGCACTACTATGTCCCTCTCACCCGATGCACCCCGAACCCCCACATTGCAGGCAACACCTCTTAGGCAAAACCTCTTGCAGCAGTGCTCGCATGCACAAACACTCTAAGCACCAAGCGCAGGTCAGCTTCTCGCTTTGCAGCCTGCCCTGGCCAGCTCTTGGAAGAACTTCGGGTTTCGAAGCTGGGGCTTGATACAGAAATCCGCAACTCTTGGGATCCTTTCCTTCCTTTTGCGGAGACTTCGCTTTTTGCGAAGGTATAGAGGACCTCTAGGCTCTCTAGCTTGATTTCGGCAAATGAGGGGAAAAAGCCCAGGAGCTTGGTCACTCCGAAGAATCCCGTGGGCCTTCCCGCAGCGACCGCTCGGCCTCGCACCGCCCGAGGGCCTCTCGTGCCTGCAGCAAGTTTCTTGACCAAGGCACTATGAGGGCTCAACAAATCCGCAAAAGAAACACAAAATAGCAAAGCAGCTCAAGCAAGTTCAAAAGAGGCCCCACTTTCTGCGCCAAAGCCGTGAAAAAGGCCTCGAAAATCCGTGGCTGAGTGTGTAAGCGAGTGAAAATCAACCAGCGGGAGCACTGCGGCCATGCCCCTCTCGGCCTCGTAGGGCCCGTCCATCAGAGATTCTAAGCGGAGAGAGACAAGACGAAATCAAAGGAAAAGAGAGAAAACACACATACATGTACATATACCATATACACCCACACACACAGAGACAGACAGACAGACAGACAGACACACACACACATACACAAACACACACACACACACACACACACACACACACACACACACACACACACACACACACACACACACACACACACACACACACACACACACACACACACACACACACACAGACAGACAGACACACACAGAGACACGCACACACGCGCGCACACACACACACACACCCACGACCGAGACCGCGCGCGCTCGTGCGCGCGCGTGCTTTGTGCGCGCAAGCACACGCCCACGAACACGCACAGGCGCACGCGCACGCGAACGCACATGCCTCGCGCAGGCGCACTGCAAGCGCACACATACGCACACCTTCTGCAGAAACGCTTTGGGAGATAACGGCACCCAGAGCATTGTGACTTGTGGAAGTACCCGAAGTCTCCGTACAAATCGCTGATATTCAGAAAAAATGGTAATTATCTGTTCAATTCAGGCTACAATTTTGCCCCTCACGTTGCCGCGGAACAGCATGCGCTGCACATTTTTCCCAAACCTACCTCAACGAAGTGGTTTCAACAGGGTTAAAGGCTTCTCCTACATTCAGGGTCTATTTTCAACATTTAGTGGCATCTGTCAGGTTTCCCATCCGCCATTTCACAGCGACTCCAACAGCAAGTAACCCATACCAGATCCTGATCTCAAGTCTGACAAGCCTCCAGGGCCTGTATCCGGTAGCTCTCCTCCCTGGCAGAGACTCTAGATACCAGTTCTGAACCCTAAACCCTAAACCCAAAACCCTAATCTCCTGGAAAGTTTTTTGGGGGCCTACAGGGTCTGAGAGAAGGAGTGGTGGCGTCGTTGAACTCCTGTCGAGTGCTTTGAGCTCATCCTGCCCCAACCACTAAAGCTCAACCATTACTTGTTCCGAATCCTCATTTCAGAAAACTTTTGCGCAAGAGCCCTCAATTCCTGAACCGGCATCCTCACATAACACCTCACCTCACTCTTACTGCTGCCACCAAGGGGCGGGTGCTCGAAGGCAGTGTAGTTCGGATCCGGCTCCTGCAGGCATCCAGACTCGGCTGAACCAAGAAGCCACAAGACACAGCTGCAAAACATCTGTAAGCTCGGTGAACCATCAGACTGCAAAGCCTCAACTGCGTACTTTCAACTACAGCACGTTTCGGCACGGTTCGTCTGCTGGACGGTGTGTTTGGCCTTGAAAACCTCTCCGCGAGGAGCCTATCAGTTTTGGGGCGTGCTTGGACATTTGAAAACCGAACTTATTGGGACGTTGCCCCTATACTTACGGTCCTTAATGAGGATTATAGCACCCCCCTATTGTAATCCCTATTGAGGACTGTTATAAGAGGGAACATCCCAAATGAGCTACTTTGCCCGCGGCCTCGGCACTGACTGCCGGGGGCGTCTGGGCGAAGTCATCGGAGCCCCACGTGCCTTGAGCAAGGCTTGGGACATGTTAGCCATGGGGTGAATCTGGAACCCACAAAAAAACTTCGAGCATCCCGACCCCTATGCCATGCTATGCCATGCTATGCCATGCTATGCCATGCTATGCCATGCTATACTGTACAATACAGTACAACACTATGCTATACTATACTATACTGTGCTATACTATACTGTGCTATACTATACTGTGCTAGACTATGCTATACTATGCTATACTTTACTATACTAGACCAGACTAGTCATACCATATTTGTACATTCTCAAATATACTTCACTATACTACACCACACAACATGACACGACACTACGTTACACTACACTACACTAGTATACACTGCACTACACTACACTACGCTACACTACGCTATACTGTGCTATACTAGCCTATACTATGCTACGAGCATACTATAATTACTGGGCTATATAGTAGAAGATTCAACAGGCGCGGTACTGTCATCGCAGCTGCACACAGTCACGCACTCTAGCAAAAGCTCAGAATGTCCTAGTCCGCACTGTGTGTTCCGTGAACCATTATAAACTGCCATATGTAGGATGTAATATTCAACACACAATATGCAATATTAAACATGCTTTGATATAACACATTTGTGGTGTAAAATGGGTTCTAATATTAGAACATAATAGGAAAACATAACCTAACAGAACAAAAAAGAGTATAATGTACCATGATGTAGTACAGTAAAATGTCGCACGATATAACATAACATAACATAACGTAACGTAATACAATACAATATAATTCAATATCTCATAACATCATAGCATGAGATAACATGAAATGAACTAACGAAATGTAATACAATGTAATGTACTGTAGTGGAAGGTAACATAGCATAATATAAAATAAACTCATAAAGTCCAATACAACATGGCATCTGATTAAAACTACCATCTGATACAATATACTGCAATATGAAAATATGAAAATATGAAAATAAGATATCATACAACAGAATCATAATAGCATACCATATGCTGTTACAATTCATGTAATGTAATGTAACGCAATGCCGCAATGCAATGCAATGTAATGTAATGTAAATGTAAATGTAAACGTACTGCTATTTTAAAAAATCTTATCACAAAAATCGTTTATATATATGTATATGCTAACATATGACGTGAAATTCTTCTTCAAATTAATATGACAAACACGACATAAAACAGCATAGCATAGCGTAACATAGCATAACGGGAACAGAGGCATAACATGTGCATGCATTTGCTGCCCGTGAAGAATTAGTTTCACTCATGCCTAATACACGCAACATCCAACACATGTACACTGCACAGTGTTTCTAGTTATAGCTATACAGCAGGCATATGTGTAACACATAGAATGTGCATAGTATATTTATCGTGTGCATACATATGCATGGGGCACCTGACTAGTGAGAAGCGCTAGAAGCTTAGTTTCCCTTCATGGTGCCATCCGAATCCTCCGAGGCTTTGGGTTTAAGGCTTGTAGGATTTCATGCAACCTTGCTCCGATTGTTGGAGTAGCTGTGCTAGAAGATGCTTAGTTTGCTGGAATGCCTCCAGGAAGAAACCTGCTGTGGCCTTTCTTTCGCAGGGTATGTTTTTTGCCTGCTAAACTGGCTGCAGAAAGCCACTCTTTTTGACGGGCCTTCGCAACTTGTGTGCGTGACCTCCAAGGCCTAAAACCGATTCTGATTGTCAACAAGCTCCACAGAAACCACCCGAATAAAGTCCTCGCGGCAACAGTACTCCTTGAAAGGTTGCGGAATCCCGGCCCAAGCTGGGTGCATGCCAGTCTTTGGAGCTGGGTCCTTGCATTCACAAACCACTACGCAAGCGTTCCCATCATGGCCACGGTGCCACGCGATCTGCGCTGCCAGCTCCCGTGACTCAACGAGATACACTCCAGGGCCCAGGCGTCCTTCCTGCGAGGCACATAGCCCGTTGAGGAGAATCGACTCAGCAGTGCCACGGATGCGCGTGCCATGGAAATAGTATGTTGCCCCGGCCTCTGTGGCGGCCCCACCCGGGTTTTCCACGACACCTTTGGCCTTGCAAGCATCGCAGCCATCCTTTCGATGTGTCTGGATGAGGCAGCCGGGCTGCCGACATGCGCAACACATTCCACTGCCACCACATTTGAAGCATTCCGTCCATGAGCCATTCAGCATACCCTTGGCCTTGCAAGCATCGCAGCCATCCTTTCGATGTGTCTGGATGAGGCAGCCGGGCAGCCGGCACACGCAACACATTCCACTGCCACCACATTTGAAGCATTTCGTCCATGAGCCATTCAGCATACCCTTGCCTTGGCAAGCATCGCAGCCATCCTTTCGATGTGTTTGGATGAGGCAGCCGGGCAGCCGGCATGCGCAAAGCAACCCACTGCCACCACATTTGGCGCACTGCATCACAGATAGCGTGCCATCTTGGCTGCGGCTGTCTGGGTTGATCCTTTCTACAAAGGCAAATCCTTACGAAAGCACGAGCATTAACTAAGCCCCTCTCAACGACTGGAGGGTTTCCAGGAATGGTCTTGGATGATATGAAGTTGTAAAAAAATTCTCAAAGTGCTGGGGCATGATTCTGCAGGATTCCAGCTGCCGCTTCCTTTGACTTACATGCTCGTGAGAAGAAAAACGCAAACCCGCAGACACGATGCCGAAATCCTAAACTCCGATTAAACCTCGAATTCCCATAAAACCGAAACCTTATGCACCTAGAGACCTGTCGAATCTGGAACCTGCTATGCCTGCCGACATCCACGTATGTTGCTGCAGGGCCTGAAACTACAGTCCTGCAGCAACATCGCGAGAGAGCTCCTAGCATCGAACTCCTAGTAGCCATCTTCGAAAAAAAGAACTCGCCGTAGTGGCAGCCCTCAGCAGAGGACGTTTTTCAGATCGATTGATGGACAACTTTCTGTCATGTGAGGAGCAGGTCAGCTACCTGATGAGGAGAGCCACCTTTGCTGGCGTTCTCGGACAATTTTGGGGCTCTCCGAAGGTCTCTGAGGCTGGGCACTTGAGTGAGGCTCTGCGGACTTCTCTGGGGCGAGCACTCCAGGGATACTCATTCGGCGGGGCTCCTTGCGGGCTTCTCTACAAAATGGCATGCTAGAGATGCTCGGCACTTCAGGGGCACTCGGCAGACTCTTTGCGGGCGTCTCGTGGCACTCCAGGGATTTTTGGGAGGGATGCTCGGCAAAGTTCTCTGCGACCGGCGGGACACCAGGCGAGGAGCCGAGGAGGCGGCAAGCATGGTTGACTCAACAACTCCACACCCCGAGCGCGTGGAAAAGAAGTCGTAGGCTCGGAATTAAAGCGTTTGGGCTTCTTAACATGTTGAAGTTCAGCTTTTGGGGAGCTCAGGACAATGTTAACACTAAAACTAACACTAACTTAGCTTTAACCTCAGCTGCCAAGGTGTGGGTGTGCCAAGTCTTCAGGCTGAAGGTCTAGGTGATTCGGCACGGGTAGGCCTCGTTGGCCCAACGACTCCTAACGACCCAAAACCCAAAAACGAGGGAGAGGGATGGAGACTGCGAAAACACGCCGGACCTCCTCCGCCGGGCAGCGGCATCTGCGGCGGCACCCGCCGTGGCTCCTCCTGTGTTTTCAAGGCTTAACCCCCCGTGCAGTTTCGACACTTGGAGTTGCAGCTCAGCATGCACCTGCTAAGGCTGGATCGTTTATCAGAGACTTCCCCTTACGAGGGGAGAAACCAAGAACTCTACCATTCCCAGACGAGACTGAGTTCACAAGGCTCAAGAGATTAATGCAGCCCATCGCCCCCAAAATAGTCCTCAATGATCATGCAATCCTGCCTAGATGTTGCAGGTCACCTCTCTCTCTATTCCTAACCGAGAACGGTAAGCTCTCACCCCCTTGCTGCCGATATTGGAAAAGCACCCGCCACTTGGTCCTCGTTGCGCGCATCGGTTGGTGGAGCGCGCTCCAGGCCTCTGACGTGGAGGGTGCTTCCAAGGAAGGGAGTCTTTTAGTGCACTGTGAGTATTTGGGAAATTTGGGCAAATTGCAAATATGTGTGCCGTTGATGTGCTCCTGAAACAATGGTAGATTCGGTAGATCCTACAATATACTGAAGCCCGAAACGTTGAAACTCTGCATGTGTGCGGGCTTCGGAGAAGAGATGACTAAGAAACGAGAGAACGGCGCTGCACAATTGAGCGCGGGGGAACGGAGCTGAATGCTTTCATGCGCTATTGAACTGTTCTAAAGGTAGTTACATGGTGCCTTGTATGGGCCCTTAGAAGGGTGCCCCTTATATACGCCTGATATACCCCTTAAAGGGGTTAGGGACCATATTAAGGGCCCATGAAACTGCCCTTAGATCTATGGAGGTTTCGACGGCTTGCGCTCTTGGTGGTCTGGCTTGTGATTTTTGTTACTCGTGACCCAATCTCGCCATGAGGGGGCAGGCCCTCTTCTCCAACAGGCACCAGAAACAAGCGTTAAAATCTCAGAAAAGCTATTGAAGCTACACAAATCAAGATGGTGGACAGGCGTGGGCCTTCCGATGCCCACGACGACGCCATGTCATCGTCCAAAGCCTTCGATTGGCTCTCGGGTTTCGGATATGCTGCGTGTAGTCAACAAAGCCTTGCTGAACCAGGACTGCTCACTGGTTGCATTGACAGATGAATGCTCAGATCTTGTAAGGAGGCTCCGCCAGATAGCAAACCGACTCGACACTCCATTTTGTAGCCCGAGCTGAAACCGGCTTCAATGCCTTGCTTCTCCTGTATCCCAGCATTCGTGACTGCAAGGCAGGGGCCGGCATGGATGCAAATTCAACCCTGGGCACCCGAACTCTAAAGGTTTGACGTTTAGGTCGAGTTCGACTTAGTAGCTCCTCTGTTGTTTACTTCTCTCTCTTTCTCGCTCTCCTCCCCTCTCTTCATAAGTCTCAGCACAGAAAGCCCTGACATGGCAAACCAACACACCCGCACACAGACTTCAAGTCTTTTTCGATGTTTCATCCGATGCTTCATCGTAATCGAGTCATGATCTTGTAGTCCTGAGCCCTGAGCCGTGATGCTCGTTGCAAGTCAAGCTCGAGAATCTCCGCCCTGAACTCCCGAAGCCTCGAGCTCTTCATTTCTAAACGCCCTGAACAACACACAGGCACTTCGCTCGGACAAGGCCTGATCCGAGGAAGGCCGCCGCCCCGCGATCTGCCTCCTTACTCAGAGCGCCGGCGTGGGCCCCATGTACGGGTAAAGGTCGGGATGATTCAAGGAAGGTCTTACGTACGCCCACTACGGTCACTACAGTCTTCTAGAGGTACGAGGACCACATCCACCGATTCTGCCTTCCAATCAAACAAGCTGTCGCAACGGAAACTATGGGTGGGTGAACACCTGAGCCAGCGGATCCGAAACCCGAGGTTCAAACCCTCCCTCCACTCCCCAGCACGCTCCCTTCCTTGCTACCACATGATATAGGGGCCTTTAGAGTTAGAAGTATGTTTTGGGGGTTACCGTATTATATACGTTATAAAGAGACGATAAGGGAACACTATTTAGTAATTATTCCGACCCCTATAGTACTGTCGGAGCTTGGCCTCATGTGGCCCGGCAGTGGCGGTGGGACGCGAGTGATCCTGGCAGCATCGCGTCGAGCAGCACGCGGTTTAGGGTCTACGGTTTACGGTTTAGGGTTGAGGGTTTAGGGTTTAGGGTCTAGGGTTTAGGGTTTGGGGTTTAGGGTTTAGGGTTTAGGGTTTTGGGTTTAGGGTTTAGGGTGTTGGCTTTTCTGGTGCAGAGACCCACAGAGAGAATAAAACGAAACAAACGTGGGCTTCAGAGGTCGGGGGCGCTGGGTCTAGGATTCCGGCAAACTGCGTGCAAGACTCTATGGCCAAAGAACACAACCTGCTTCCTGTGTTTTGCAACCATGTGCACGGAAGGCCTTGACACTGAAGCGCTTACCGCCTGGACCCTTGAACCTGAAAACAAAAACACGAAACACTAAAACCACGATCAACATGCACCTTCTGGTGCAACCCGTCTCACATCCAACAGGTCCCTGACCAACTGAGACCCGCAACATCCCACATCCCTAAATCCTAAAACTCTTCGAATCTCTGGAAGTAAAACATACAACGCCCTCGCCACTGAACAGCTCGGAGTCAAAGCCCTGTAAGCCACAAGTTGAGTCGACTCTCGACATTCAGGGCCTAACCCTAAACCCTAAACCCTAAACCCTGAACCCTAAACCCTAAACCCTACAAAACCTATCAAACAACATGGCAAGCCTCAGTCCCTCCAGCACACCTTGGCGCAGAAAGCACACAGGGGGCTTCACTGCATTGAGCATTCAAATCTTCCGGGCTTCCACAAGCACATCCCTTCAAAAAACCACTAAAAGCGCATCCCTTCCCAAAGCCACCTGTTCAGCATTTTTTCCGGTCAGTGATGTATCTAACTGTATATATACACACGACGACCCCTGGGCACTGAACCTCCTAGATCCCGAGAGCCATCAAGGTCGTAATACTAGCCAAGCCCAACCCATTAAGCTCCAACAATACGTTTTGCCACAGAAGCCCGTCGAAACCCAACCCATCAACCCTGAAAGTTTCAACGCACCAAAGCTCCCAAACTTTGACACACCAACCCAAAACCAAAGCCCAAAAGCCGAGAACCTGAAACCTCTCTCAACTCTTCCAGGCCCCTGAACAAAAACTGCAAAGCAACCTCAAGCTTTCAGGAACCCAGGTTTGACGCAGACAGGAAATCAAAACACCCTAAGTCTGGATCGGAAACCAAAGTGTGCATTCTTGTAAAGAAAGAACCAGAGCTCCCAGCACGACGACAACATACCAATCCACGGAATCCCTGCACCCCAACACTCAATTCTTAGGGCATCTTTGGTGCACAACGAGATTGCCCGCCAACAGTGAACTCGCCGCGCTGGTGGACCCTTTAGCCCGGACACTACTCCACACAAACCCCCTACAAGTACGTTAGTAGTACGATCAATGCTGAAACCTATCTAGCACGGCCGTTGAGAGTCCCAGGTCCCAAAAATGATCGTCCAGGGCGCCACGAAGCGCGGCGGCACGACGGCTTGAGCGCGCTGAAGCCTCTTTTGAGTGCTTGGCAGTGCTCGGGCGGCGGTCACATTCTTTCAAACGGGTCTCAAGAGGTCGCAATGTGTACCTCCTAGTGTAATGTGCGGGTAGAGCTTGTAAGCAAGCGAGCTATTCCAGACTCTTGCCATCGGAGGATGTGATCCTTGCAGGATCTCGTAAGCACATCTTAGGGAAGCTGTCGGTGGCGACGGAGATGGTAGTTGAGCGCCTTTAAAATGCCAGCATGCCAGACACTGTGATTGGGACTGGTGGCGCATCGAAAACGAATGGAACCGAGGCGCGCAGGTACAAACTTGGGGCTCAGGGCCTCCTTGGAAAATGGCAAGGGGAGCTTACTCCTACGCCCTCCCTGAAGACATAAACCACGTGCCCTGAACCTTAACCATAAAGGTCAAGGAGACAAACCACTACGCCCTTTGGGACGAGAAGGCCTACAGAGACAGTACGCACAAGTTTGCTTCCTGTCTCCATTCCACAAGACCTCAACATTCTGGACTTCCGAGAAATCCGAACCAGCCTCCAGCAACAGATCCGTGTCCGGGGCGTCAATCGGGCTCCCTCGTGGAGTCTCGGGCTTCGAGGTTTCGGTTTCAAAGCGCTGGAAGGTTTCGGATTCAAACCACTGGAGCCTGAAGGTTAACAGCCTTCTGCTAGCTGCTAGAGATCCAAGGACTCCTTTGCTGCAGAGTCGCGCTTTACAACGCAGGGCCTGTGAGAGTAAGAAGAAGCGCCCCTTGAAGGACGGACTCAAAACAACAACCGGCTGAGGGAAGGGCAACAATGGTTGGGGGAAGATCGTGGTCGCAGGCTTTCATAAACCTACCCCGACGAGTTCACATAATGTTCAAGCAAACTAGCATCATCATCATCATCAGCATCAGCATCATCAGCATCATCATCATCATCATCGTTGTCGTCATCATCATCATCATCATCATCTCACGATCATCCATTTCGCGTATCAGTTGGATCCATAACTATCTTCCTTTCTTTCTCTCTCTCTCTCTCTCTCTCTCTCTCTCTCTCTCTCTCTCTCTGTGTCTCGGTTTCGATTCAATCCAACGAGTCTATTGCGCCCCCCCCTCTCCCCCTTACCCCTGCCACCACCACCCTAAACTCTAAACTCTAAACTCTAAACTCTAAACTCTAAACTCTAAACTCTAAACCCTAAACCCTAAACCCTAAACCCTAAACCCTAAACCCTAAACCCTAAACCCTAAACCCTGACTGTTGCTGTGGCCTTCGCCTGGGCCAGGTGTTCGCTCCGGGCTTCCCTCCTGCGCTGCGGAGGCTTCAGCCAAGAAGCGGAGCTCCGGCCCAAACAACTTGCAAGCTCTTTAGGGTTTTCAGGGTTTTCAGGGTTTTTGGGGTTTTTGGGGTTTTGGGGGTTTTTGGGGTTTTTGGGGTTTTTAGGGTTTTTAGGGTTTTTAGGGTTTTTAGGGTTTTTAGGTTTAGGATTGCAGGATCGGATTCAAAGCTTCTGGGCTCGTTGGGCTTTACGAAAGTTTCGGGTGCGATTTGGCTGTTGGGCTGTGTGGGCTTCAGGGGTCTACACAAGATTGTAGCCACTCTCGAGTATTCGTCCCTGGACCAGAAGGCCCCAAATGCAAACTGGGTTCTGAAAACCACTAGAAGCCCGGAAATCCAGAAGCCCCAATTCTTGTTATGCTTTTTTAAGAAGCCTCGGCCACTGCCCGTGCAGAGCGGGGCGTTGACGGCGCCGGCAGGTCACCTGGAGGTTTGTTTGTGGAGGGCTTGGTTCGCAAAGGCAGCGGCTCATGGAATGAGGACGGGTTTGTCAACGGATTACAAGCGTGTTCCAGACTTGTGGGGATTGGGAAGCGAGTTTTCTCACTCGGTCACAAGTGCCGGGTTAGGCCCCCTGAATGCGGGTAACCCGCGGCCCTTGTGCGTGTTCCCAAGGTAGAAAATGGGTGCAAAGTTGGGGTGAAAAGCTCCGGACTCGACATATTTCTCCCACGCCTTCTGACTTCTAACCAATCACTTTCGAAGATAGACCCCCACTTGACTTGCAATGCGGTGTGTCTTTGGCGGCTCAACAAGGTCTTGAATTGGTGTCACAACGCGAGAACAAATAAAGCTTCTGCCTTAGCTGTTGGCTTCGTATATTTGGTCTGATGGCCTTGGGTTCTGCATGTTGCTTCTCGGTCTGCTGTTGTTATTGTTCAGATTCCCGCTGGACAATGCAATCTGCCCATGATTCGGGAGTGGTGGCTGAGACGAGATTTGTAAGGGGCTACATGATGCTGCGGAATCTCAAGCCTAGCCAAAGCGTTCGACCATGTGAGCTGAAAGTAAACCCGAATGCCCTCCAACAGCAGCTGGTGGGGCCCACCTTCACCTAGTTCCAGTGCACCACCATCATCCATGGCCGACAAGCATGTGGATTGCTTCCAAACACCGCAAAGAAATTCAGGATTTCACCGGCCAAAATCAAGTGCTTGGTCGCGTGGCGTGCAAAGACCGGTTTGGAGGGGGTTTGGACTGGCTTGGTGGGCTTTCGCAGAGAGCTGGGCTGCATGATTCTCCGCGGGTGTACTGTGTGGTGCCCGGCGCAGCCATCCCTTGGCCAGTACGCGTACTGGCAAACTCCCTGGCAGCCCAGACGGCAAATTGGACCTCATCAGTCAACCCTAAACCCTAAACCCCTAAACCCTAAAACCCTAAAACCCTAAAACCCGAAATAAAGGGTATCCCAGAACCAAAATAAATGACAACATTTATTCTTTTCTAGGAGCCTTCGATAATATAGAAATAATCATTGAATATTCAATACTCCGATGTAAGAGATTCTATTCCAAAAAATATTAATTAAGAAATAGAATATGAAATATAGGAACCAACCCAAAACAAAATATGACGTAAATTTCACGCTCTCCAAGATGTTCCGTCGTGCTCAAAAAACAGTCGCCACCCCCAATTATATAGAGTATCCAAGAAGACGAAAAGGGTAAAAAGAGAAGACCAATATTACCTTAAATATCGTAAATAACGAAGTAGGCCCCCATAGTACCCTGTATGAAGTGAAATTCATCATACAAGCGATATGTGTGTCCAAACAAATGAAAGAGAATCCATAATCACGAAAAAAAGAAGAATTCCGAACTCTCCAAGACGTCTCAATATTTTTAAATAATCCGTCACCACCCCCAACTACGAGGTATCCCAGAAAGACGAAAAAAAATGGAACCGAAGATTCCCAAATATAAAGAATCAAAAAGGAAATAAACGCCGAAATCAAAAAAAAATAATATTTTTTTAAGAATTTTTAATCTTCGTAAATAATATGCTAAGCAGGTTCATCACCAATATGACACATGTCAATCCTTCGAACATTCATCCTGGTAGTGTTTGTTGTTCTTGTTTGCTGACTGGTCGCTGATGACGAAGGTGCTGTTGTAGGTGCCCGGGAAATGCCAGCACTACTTTGTTGGTCTTCCTGCACTTGCCTTGTGTGGCCACCACGCATGTCACGTTGTTTCAATCTGCATTCAGCTTCGTAGTGACCAAGCTTCTGACAGTAGTTGCAAAGACCTTTCCTGTGACTTCCTTTCTGGCTAGACTTTCCACCACCTTTTCCATAGCCTCCAAAGCCGCGTCCAAAACCACGACCTTTTCCTCTTCCTTTGAAGCCACGACCTCTTCCTTTGTATCCTCTTCCTTTTCCATATCCAGACTCCCAATTTTGCTTTCCTTTTCCTTTTCCTTTAAAACTCTTTCCTTTTCCTTTACCTTTTCTTTGTCCTTTTCCCTTTCCTTTTCCTTTGACTTGATTGATATCCATGTCTGCTTGTCCACCATGGTCTTGACCACTTTCAATCAAATCTGTGGTTGTCTGTCTTTTATCTTTTGTTGTTAACCTTGTCCACAAAACCCGAAACTCCTAAAACCCTAACCCTAAAACCCTAAACCCTAAACCTGGAAGCCCAAGCCACTGCCCAAACATCCACCTTAGCCGAAATCGAGCTGACCTTAGGTTGCAAGCAGGCGCAACATCTCATGCTGGACTGCCGGCTCTAAAAGTTCCCAATGCCAAACAGGGCTAGATGGCTTTCATTTCTCCTAGCGGCCGACCAATTTCAGTTAAGTTTCAGTGGCTGCTTTCTATCGAAAGGCAAAATAAAGGCCCACAACAAAAACAACACGGCTCCGGCTAGGACCCTCAAGAAGGGTCGCGCCGCCCCGTACCGAACCTGAAGAATGGATTAGCTGCGAGGATGCTTGAACGGGTCCCGCTGGCGGGCACAGGCTCCTCACAAACCCAACAGCATAAATCTGACTCAACGATAGACGATAGATAATGAAAACAAGTTTAAGATCACCGACCATACCCAGAGTCTTCCTTGTTTTCCGCCCTTCATATGCCACCTGCAGCCAACGACAAGCGAAGGCCGAGTCGTCTGGCAGGCGCCGGCAGAGTTCACGCAGTTGCTCCTGCCGAAGATAGTCACCTTATCCCCTCTTGAAAAAAGGGCTCTTGACCCGAACTGGGGAGGGGAGCAGGTCGGCAAACCAGCATGACTCCCCCCCCTTGGCATCTACCAGACCAAGCAGAGGAGAGCCAAAACCAAACCCTTTTCTCAAACGGCACGAAACGACTGGAGACAAAACATGGACGCCCAATGCAAAAAGGCAAAAGCAGAGATAGGGGAAAAAGGAACCCATGCAGGTCTCGAGAAATGCTTCTCGTACATGAGAAGATTTTAAAGGACCTCTTTCTGAAGCCCACAAAGTGCGATTTGTTACTTAGCAGTTAGAACAAGAAGCCCAATGCGCTTCGCTTCAAAAAGCCTCATGAGACTGATTCGTCGAAGGTTAAGACAACCGCTCGTGTCCCGACTATTTAACAGGATTACTACTTGTAGGGGAGTTCGCGAACGCTACTGAAAAATGCTAAAAGATTTGTAAAGTTCATTCATATTTCATGATGCTTCATGCCTTCGAGAAGAATAAATAACTTCCCACAAGCTATCTCCGGAATGACTCAGATTATAACATTGTTTCAAAGGAGCAAGGCATTGCAAGAAGCAGGAGAGATTTTAGAAATAATCTGAAGGGTGAAGGCGTCACAGCTTCAGGGATTCCGGAAAGATAGCCAGCACGAATAGGGGGTGTTGAGCCGTGAGGGAAAGCCGGCAGTCCTGCGTCGGACCAGGTTCGGGCGGGCCTACAACGGCATCCTGCGCGCAGCAGGCATACCAGCAGTTTCAGGTTCAAGCTTCCGCTGGCTATCCCTCTGCTTCACACAAGACAGCCAAGCCGGAGGCTGCTCATGTCCATGTGCTCATGTCCAGGGAACCGAACACAAGCACCGTTTCTCATACAAAGCAGATCGGAGTCCTCTTTCAGCTGCCATCCGAGCACCTCCAGCCGCCAGGAGGCCTGCGCGGTTTAGGGTTTAGGGTTTAGGGCTGTGCCTCAGAAGAGGCAAGCAACGTTCCTTATCCCGGTAGCGTTGCGTAAGGGCTTTTCTCGAAGCTGTCCTAACGCATTGTGTCTTAACAGTGAGGGAGCACACGAAGTTATTGACTTCGAATATCCAGTTCCTCGGCTCCCGGGAACAAGCAGACCAGCCCACACCTCACCAACCCATCGCTCCCTTCCAGGCGAGAGCTGCCACATGCGCTGAAGTAGGAGATATGTTCCAAACCCGCACATTCACGCACGCAGAGGGCGTGAAGGCTTTGCACGAGGCAGTGGGTGCGAGAAGGGTCTCCATGAACATTCCCGCTCAACATCGAAACTCCTTATAGCCAGCAGGGGCACTATATGCACGTTGATACATCAACAAAAAGTGCTGACCATCCTGAACCCTAACTTTGACACCCTGAGCCTACTCAGGACTTCCGTGCTTAAGCCGTTTTACGAGGATTTCTGTCTTGGGGGGCACTTCGGGTATGGACCCTGATGTGAAGAACCCAAACCCTGCAAACCCAAAGCCCGGAAACTGAAAGGCTGCGTTGGCCTCCAGCTCCTCCCCGAGGGGCTTGTCCTACAGTTTCTGCTCTCAAGGGGCTTCCAGTTTAGCGTTCCGGGATATTCCTGGGTGATGCGGGGGCCGCTGCTGGATTTTGCTGTTGCGTATGTGCTGTGGCTCGTGTGCCACCTATATAGGACGCCTACGCAGTGATCACGCTCCCAGGCATCGTGCGGTATACATGTGACTCGCAACTTTGTGGTTTAGGGTTTAGGGTTTAGGGTGTTGGGTTTCAGGTTTTGGGTTTAAGGTTTAGGGTTTAGGGTTCAGGGTTTGGGGCTTTGGGGGTTGCTTTATCAAGCTCCAAAGGGTTGGAGTTTCAAAAGGTAATAAGGTGTTTCGTCGTCAAGATGCAAGGGGTTACAGTTTGAAAGGAAACAAGCAAGGGCGCAGGACACGGCGTTTTCGGAGCGAAGCGCGTCAGGTAGTCAGTCCGGTACACGAGTGGTCGGAAGAGCTGCGCTCTGCAGGCAAAGGGTACTGGGAAACACGGTCATGTAGGGGCCTAAAAAATCAGAATAGGGTTTTGCTGTATATTACACGATTGTACTTTAGAACTCGTAATTAACCAGGACTGCCATGCTTCAACCGAGAATTCTGCGATGTTTCTTCTGCTGGTACTACTCCTGGTACTATCCTGCCTGCACCGCAACATTGACAATCTACACCCTGCACCGCCTCAAGCCCCCTAAGGCCCAGGCCCTTAAGTATTACATCAGTCAGTGAACATGCGACACGTTGCAGCTCAGCCAAGGACTACATTGCGCTCTAAGGCGCTTCAGCAAAAAGCTGTCAGGTTGCATCTCAAGCTGTCATTCCCATGGAGCCTTCGTCCATTCGGATGGCATGGGAATCGAGTGCCTATAGCATAAATAAAGACGCATCCCTTTTCGGGTCCAGGAGTCCAGTGCCTTAACGTAGCCATTACGGCTTGCAGTACTGATGTCCTGTTGCTGTCGCCCGACCATCATGATTGTTCTTCTTCGCTTGAATACTCGTCTTGTTTGTACTTTTCTTCATCCGATCCTGTTGTCAGCGTTCGTATTAGCATTCACTGCCGGTTCTGCTGTTGCTCTGCTAGTTGCAGTACTCTTGCCGTTCTTGCGGCGTTACTGATGTTGCTGGAATGCGGCTTGCCACTTTAACACAAGTGGTATGCTGTTCTTGCTACCACCACTCAGCAACCATTCCTACTACGGACACTTCTTGGGTTGCACCTGGCAGCATGAACCAAAAAACCTTTCTAACGAGACTAGTACGGTGCTGAAGACGAGCATGCCTACTGCGCCTATCTGATACGAAAAGCTGCCAACTCTGGGAGAGTCCTGGGGTTTTCCCGAGAGTTAAAAATTACACTACTCGCAGCTGCCCTGGTGCTGCTCGGCCTTCAGGTAGCTGGGAGAGAGGCACGTGCAACCTCCTTCTCTGCTCATCCTTTCGTTTCGCTCATGGGCGTCATATCGTCGGCAATTGCAGCGCGTCCTTTGCCTGTTCCTCTGGGCCTGGATGCAGGCTGTGGGTTTGGGGCTTGGCGTTTGGAGCTTCGTATAAATAGGATTGACAGGTCACAGATAAGCGATTCAGCCAGATGTTTTTGATCCTAGACCATCCGAACAGCAAGACACGATACTCTACTCACACACGTTCCCCCCAAGCCCCAAGCCCCAAACCTGAACGACGTAGCCCTACGCCCAAACCTCTGTTTCCCGAAGACCTAAACCCAAACCCCGACACCCCAAAAGCCCTAAACCCTCAAACCCCTCATTCCTAGACTCCTAAACCCCAAACCCTAAACCAAAAAGCAAACGTGAACCCATCGACGCCATATCCGGAATTCCAATCTTCAACAACCGGACCAAGAGTGTCACCAACGTTCATTATCGGTGCTGTGGGACTTGCCACTTATGTCACCTACCAAGCGCCTGGGTGTGGAGTCCCGCCTCTCTGGCGATATCGACCAGCTTTTTGAGGCTCTCTTCCCTGTTCAAGTTGACACGGATGCCGGCATTCATCAACGCAAACCTTGGCTTTCCAGCGCCAGGGCTTGCGGTGCGGCTACAGAATCAGAGCACCCTAAACCCCAACCCTATATAAAGCGGCCCCTAAACTTTATCCTAACTTCCAAACCTCTTCCAGGCCCTCATCCTGGAACCAAACACCAGGTAGGAACAGAATTTGGAATCTTCCCAGAGCACTTATGTCAGAGAAGGAACCCGAGTGCTTTCACCATATCCACGTAGTCATTCACTGTCTCGTCGGGTGCGACTGCTTTCGCCTCTCATCCATTTCGAGAGTGGGTCGACGGGCTTAAAGACTAGAGTTGTGGTCCTTCGTTCCGCTGTCACCACAAAAGAACATGAGAATGATACCCACCACACCATGAGCTGTCCCTGAGATGGGTGTGTGGGTGGTGGGCTTGGAATGTGTGGTCCGGGGTTTCTGATAGGAGCTGTCTAATATTAGGGCCTGAACAATTAAAAGGGCTCCAGGGTATTATGTGTACCGTGCTTATAACAGGGAACCCTAAGGAATAGTATGACAAGCTTCTACCATAAAGCTTAGGAGTCGGGTGTTGTGCGACCTGCAGCTCCTCCGACCCCCGAACTCCAAAAGGAAGCAGGACATGAAGTCTTAAGCCACGGCTTGATGAAGGATTAGGGGCTTAGGGTTTAGGGGTTAGGGGTCTAGGGTTTAGGGGCTTAGGGTTCAGGGGTTCAGGGGTTCAGGGGTTCAGGGGTTCAGGGGTTCAGGGGTTCAGGGGTTCAGGGGTTCAGGGGTTTAGGATTTAGGGATGTTTAGGGTTTAGGGTTTAGGGTTGGAACACTGGGCTTCAGATTGATACGCAACAGGTGTCAGCCCCCGTGCTGTCGTTACAATCATCAGCAGCGATAACAGGCGGGATGGAAATGAAACAAACACCAAAGAAACGGACGTTCGCTGGCGCGCTGTAAAGACCGTAAGGGCAAGCATCAGAAGGGTAATAACGGCGATTGTTGCAGCAAGGTTTGCAATGCCAGCCAGCAGCAAACACAGTCGTGGCAATACTGGAAATTAACACCAAGACTAGCCATTAAGAACAAGAATGGCCACAGCAGTAAGTATCGTACAATGTTGGTTATTCGAGATATTTCAAAGAAAGATGCACAGGGAAGAAGCCGATGAGGAACAGGACATAACAGAACCATATAAGCAGGACAGCAACAACACTGCAACAACCATGAACAACACAACAAAAAACACTACGTAATGGCAACCATGACGAAAGCGCAGCATGACAATGCAACCGATCAAGATGCACAGAGCAAAGGCCGAAGAAAAGCCTTAAACACTTTCGCGCTGCAAGGATCTGGGGCCCTCCAACTCTGGGGAATGGTGCTTGTAATTATGCAGGCGTAGTTTTGCTGTAGAGATCTGGGAATGTGTCGTTCGATTGTGCACAGCCCCAGAGCACAAAGCCTAAACAGCAGCGTCTTGCAAAGGCGCTTGCCTCAAGACCGTATGCAATTTTGCAGCCCTAAAAAAACCCTGTAAGTCCCCTCCATCAAACCCTGAACTATACTCCCCTTAGAACCTCAATAAAAATAGTATCAACAAAAATGAAAAAGGGATATAGTGAATCGAAGGCACCTCGACCATCCGATTCACCCAGGTCTGGGTATCCGAAACGAGCGGTGAGATGCCTGGGCTTGTGAGCCAAAGGCTAGGGCTTAGGGTGAGCTTTAGGTCCCAGAGTGCGTGCACAGCGTTTCCTTCGGAGTGGGGCACACCCACTTATCCTGGGTTTGTTAACGGGAAAGCTTGGGATGTAATGTCTGGGAATTGAAACTTACGAGTCAAGTTGGAGAGCGCAGATTCAACCAGCTTCCAAAACAACAACAGCCACACCTGCTACTGGCCAACACTTACCATCTGCAGCTGAGAGGTGCGATACCTTCCGCGGCCCTCACCTTCGCTTGGGACGTCGCGTACCTTCTCCGGCAGCTCGTTGATTTCCTTCTTCGCCTTTGCAGTTCTGTGATGTTTCCGAACAACCCAAACCATCGGATTCGTTTACGCCGTTTAGAACTTGGGTTAAGGTCATGGTTAGTTGGAGGTAGACTTTCAAGTTCGAGCTGCGGTTATGAGCACCTAGAAGCGGCTGTCGAAGTTTCGGGGTTCGAGAACAACACCTCCATGACGACAGCGGGCAAAGCAAGGTCAGGATTTCCGACCATCCCAACCCATATCGATTACACATGCCTACACCAATGAGGTGCGGTCTTGGCCCACCAAAAAGGATGGTATACCGAAGATGCTGATAATGCACAGATAGAATTTGTTCCTCCGGTCCCGTGTTGAATGACTCACTTGCCCACTACCATTCAATTCCTCACAGATACGCCAACAAGGAGTTTAATCTGCTGGGCTCAAGACAAGTCTCCTCAGCTCCCCAATAATCATAGTAATCGGCGGTCCTTCTTCGCCACGTCTCGCCCTGCAGAACGTTGAAGGCGCTGTGGGTTTCTTTGCTGACGCGCTCACCCCAGATTGGGCAGTCGTCGGGAATATCGTGCGTATTGAAGTTCCTTGCGACGCACCCGAAGATTCAGGGTTTGAGCGCTCAGGGCTTCGGGTTTTGGGGTTTTGGGCTTGGGGGTAAACGGCTTCGGGCTCTTTAGGTTTAGGAGTTTACGGTTTCGGCACTTTGGAAACTTAAAGGACCTGGGCTTCAGGCTTGATGGCTAAGGATTTAGGGGTCAGGGCCTGGTAGCCTAAACCTGAAACCCCTAAACCCTACAACTGTCAGCAAAGGGGCAGGTAATAGATGTGACGTGCGCATTCCAGCGCTTGGTATAGCCAGAAGTCGCTCCTTACAACTCGAATCAGGCAACCATTCCTGCTCTTGTTTACGGTTCAGGGTTTAGGGTTCTGCCACTTCCTTTACCCGTGCTTTTGGGACCAAATCATACCAAACATTGTCGCTCATCATGCTGTCCTACACTTGTCCCTCTAACCGACTTGCTGTGATTTTCTGCAGCATTGCTCTAGGTAGTACTGCTACTATGCTGTCTAGCGAGTCTAGTTACTCTAGTGCTGCCACTCTTGCTCATGCCCTAAACCCTACACTCCAAACCCTAAACGTCTAAACCTAAATCCTAACTCCCAACCCATAACATTCAAGCCTAAACCCTACACTTATGACATGTAAGTCTCAGGACGTGTTCGTTGCCGTGGTGGAGGAGGTAGTCCAAGAACACGAGGCTGGAGTTGTGGCCCGCCTGGGCCGCCTGAGGGATCCTTGCGTCTCCCAAGAACGAGTATAGGGGTTAGGGACGACAGTATCGTTTCAGGGAGTGAAAGTCTGTAGTGGGTCTTTTGCGATTTGGGGATTAGGGCTTTAGGGCCTCAAGGTTTAGGCTTTGGAGGTTGCGGTTATCAGAAGGGCGAGAAGAAGAAAAACTTGCACAAGTTCGTCGTGGAAGAATCAGAGCTGCCCAAATCCCGTTTGCACCGTGCTTCACGGCTTTGAGGCTCGCCACGTCCTGGAAACTAACAGCTTAAGAGTTTAGGGTTTACGGTTGAGTTTTAGTGTTTTAGGCTTCCGGCGTAGGGTCTAAGCCTGCTGCCACTTCTAGGATAGATTAAATGAAAAGGGAACAATTAATTGCAAGAGTTCCCGTCCTGATGGTTGTTGGTTCCAGCATGGGCGTGAACCAGGATTCGGTACTTGTCTGTAACTGGAAAGGACCCGCGAATCCAACTCACCAACATGCCATAATCCTCATAGTCCGCCACGCCTCGGCCTTCCTCCACCAAGATGGCCACAACACGGCGCTGGAATGCTTCATTCTCTTTCCAAGTTTGGAAAGCTTTCTCCACATCCTCCATCTTCTGCTTCTCCATGGTCCCGTCGCCTCTGAGATTCAAATACTCCATGAGGTCCACTAAGTTGATAGAAATCTCACCACGGGCAAACTTGTTGTTGATGTGGGCATCCTCACTGCGCCATTCTGCTTGCCAGCCCCACCCAGAATAGATTTCGTCCAGCTCTTCCACAGCATCTATCACAGACTTTACGAAGTCTGCATCTTTGAAGCGAACACTGGCTTTGAAGGCCAGATCCAAGAAAGCATTCGGAATCTTGAAGTCTTTGATGCTCTGGATGCCCGCTTTTCTGTCATGCTCACCCGGTGCGAACATTGCTACCAGACCACGCATTGGATCTTCGACCAACTCGCCGTTACGGTCTCTCTCCCATTTTGTTTGATCCATATATTTGATCCATTCGAGCACTTGCGTTTCTGGCGTGTACTTCTCCCCGTAATATTGACCAGTGATGGCAATGTCGTTGAACTTCATCTTTCGAATGATTCGCAGTGTCAAATATTTCATGTAGCCAGTGTGCCCAAAAGGTGTGTTCGTTGCAGGCTCCCGAATGGACTGATCCAAAACCACTGGCCGCAAAGATCTCCATTTACGGTCCGGGTCCGGATGGGGATGTGAAAACGGTGGCGTCACCCGTTCAGACGTATCTGGCGGCGGGGCTGTTGGAAGGGCGACTCGTGTCCCCGGCTCGTCCAGAAGATCGAGAAAGTGTTCTGTGTGTGCTTCAATTATCTTCCACCTTTTGTGGTCGTCACGAAGAAGAAAGTGTTTTATTGCTTCTGCCGGCATAAGCCCAAAGACACTCATCTTCCATACATCCGACTGTTGTGAATCCTGCTGCGCTTCATCGCAAATCTGGCGAATCGTTGTCAGCCACTCTGCACTCACTTCGCTTCTTGTACTTGTGAGTCCCTCGAAAATCTTGTTACAGGCGAGGCAAACCTGTATCCCTTCTGGTGCGTCTTGTAGACGAAGACCCAGGAGTCTGCCGACGGATGCAGCGATCGAGTTCCTGCGGCCGTCTCTGCGTGGCTGGAGGTCGGGCTGATGTGACTGCAGACCCGAGGGTGAGGGAGGCTCTGGGGAGCGCCGGGTTCGAGGTGCTACGGACCACGGGGGAGCCCGCAAGCCTTGAGAGGAAAGAGCTCGCTGTAAAGATTGGAAGGCCACCGGCATCGGAGCCGTGAGCTGACGCAAAGCGCCTTCGGCGCGCTCACGCGCAGCCGGGTCCAGCATGGGGCTGAGTTTGCTCAGGGCCCGAGCGGACCATCTCTGCACGTAGGACGGATATTCTGTCTCCATCGCCTCCACGACCTGACTCACAACATCTCCAAAATGGAGCCCTGTGAGACTGGCGCCCAAGGTCGAGGCCATAACATGCAGAGCACAGCAGCTTTGGGCGTGTAGCTCGGCAGTTTGTTGATGATTCTGCATGGCTGCTGCTAGGCGATTGAGACACTCTTGCAAGAGCATCCTGTCCAATGCTGCTGTCTGACCAGCTTGCTGGAAGAGCTCTGCCATGATTTTGATCTGACGCGTCTGCAAATCAACATTATCCGGCGCTGTTGTCATGGTGTCGACACAACACTCCACCAGACTGCGTAGGCGGGGCCTGCCAAGACGGGATAGTTCGGTCCAGACAGGCTGTGGCCACGCACGAGGCCCAGCATCGGCCATGGCTTGGCCATCTTGGCCATCTTGGCCATCTCGGCTACGGCCCGTTAGGCGCAGATCCACCCTGACATTCATGTCAGGGACTGAGCTGCAGATGCCTGCGCTGATTGAAGCTCAGACTCCTCTGCCCTCCGGAAGCTCGGACTACTGAAGGTTCAATACCCACTATACCCACAAACGAACCGGGTCCTAGCGGTGTATCGGCCTATCTGCGCATGTTCCGGTTGGTGCATCAGTGTATCAGCGTATTGGTGTACGTGCTCCGGCAAGGACTGAAGCGGTGCAGATCGGTTTGTCGGTGCACCAAGAGCACTCAAACCTGACTGTCCGATTGAGAAACCCAATTTTGCCCCCCAAACGCGGTCCCATCACAAGGAGATATGATTGTTGTACAGGTCGCAACTGCGATCTTCTTCTACATTTGGGATCTCCTTTTGGGGTGTGAACCTTGAAGCATCTGGGCACAATGTCGTGTGCTTAAGCTTCGGACCGGGTCGTAGCCCCAAACACGCACCTCAGCAGCATACGCTAAAGTGAAAACATCCAAACTTCGATATTGGGGTCTTTAAGGGAGGGGGGGGTTCAAGGGGGTATGTTCCCGAATACTCCCCACTACTCCCTAAGGCTCCCTAAGCTTCCCTAAGGTCGAACCCCATAATTCTTCTCGATCTTGGTTCTAGTATGTTCTAAGTATTGGTGGCTCAATGGTTGGAGCTCCGGAAAAGGCACTGACGTTGTCCTCACGACTCGGTCGTACTCTTGCCATCGAATCAAAAGGAAGCTGTACAAACTACAAGGGCAATATAACGGCAAATAAGTCGCAAGGCTACCAGAGGGAGGAGCTAGGGGCGGAGACAGGGGGAGAGCCGGGGGGAGATGGGGGGTGGGGAAGGGGTGGGGAAGTGGCGGGCCAGCAAGTTGTAAAAAGCCGCAGCGCGGACTTTTGCTAAAACTGGAGACTTTTGCTAAAACTGGATTTAGGGCACTGGCAGGTAGCTTCCCAGCCTAAGTGTGGCCCATCCTAAGTGTGGCCCAGGCACTCCTTCGCCAAACTGCTGCGCCAGGCGTGCTGCCTCCAGGTCCGATGCATGGTTTATGCCAGGGCCACATGGGACAATGTTAAAACAAGAGGCGGCTCTTCAACTGCATACTGGGTTTCATTGACTTCACGCTTCAGACTCAACTCCGGTACATTGCCCCGGAATAGCACCCACAGCTCAGAACGTCCAGTTTGTTTTCTCCAGCGATGTATCTGCATTTCAACTTTGAGAGCTCACGGAGCTACCCCCTACCCTGCCCTAGTATCAGGCGTTCCCCAAACTATTCAACCCTGGCGGGCGGAGCATCAACCAAAAAATGTCGGTACCAAAACCATCTAACACGGATCACGAAAATTCACAACCCTGTCACCTTGCCAAGTCTTGTTGGATTCTCATTCAGGTCCTGCTTGTGAAGCTAAGTAGGGACAAGTTTGAAACATAGCTTGGTTGGTTTGGCTTTGCCAGAGCTGAAGCCAACAACGTGCTCGGCCTTCAAAACATCTGACTTGGCTGTGGCTTGATTTCGTTATAGCCGGAGTTGGGACGAGGCAGTGTACGCACGTGCCAACCCCGAAGAGTTCTTTAGCTTCGCGCCCCATATTGGCTTTGGTTTTGTTTTTTTGGTTTTGCTTTTTCGAAATGAAGGACAGCTACTTCGCACTTGCACGGCGTCCCCCAGGTGCCCTTAATGCTAGAGACGACCCTCATTCCCCGCAACACCCGACCCTCGTTCCCCTCAGTACCCTTAACGCTACAAGGAGGGAGCATGTTTTCAGGCTTTGGGCTTGCGCTGCGTGAAGGGGTGAGGGTAAGGGGACTGAGGAGTTGAACAGGCTTTCAGGCTCTGGGCTTGCACTGCTGGTGGAAACAATCAGCATGAACGCTTCCGAGCTGCCAGGAAAAGCGCACACAGACGCTGCTCAACGCACATCGTAGCACGTTCCTGGCCAAATAGGGCTGAGGCAGAAGTTTACAAGGTCTGAGGTTCAGGATCGTGCAGAAATCAGCCACATGAATGTAGTAGTCTCATTTTATTCTATTCCATTTAACCTCTCTGTCCTCATGCACCAAGCCAGACACTCGCTGCCACATGCCCACTTAGACATGCACCTCCCCAGCGTGCTGCTCAAGAACCCCGGGATTGAAGAACACAATGCCGACCACGGTGACCAAAAACCTCCTAGCACCAAGACAGAACCCAAAAGCCAACAAACTCGACACCCGGATGAGCCTCCAGCCACTCGGCGGCCTCTGCTGAGGCGGCATGCAGCTCAGCCTTCAGGGACACAGGGAGAACTGCATGTGCCGGCGGTGCCCTTGGGCTTCCTGCTTCGGCCTCCCTCTCCCGACTCCAAGCTTATTGGGCCTTCGCCGACTTGCGCTGACCAGACTGCGCTGTCGACGACGACAACAACGACGACGACACCCCCTTCGCCATTCAGGCCACGGGTCTTCTGCCCAAGCGTTTCTACTGGCAACCGTTGCGGTGGCCAATCCGGCGGGGTGTCCGACCAAAGACATAGCCGCTAGCCACGCGCGGGCAGCTGAAAAACGAAGAAGACAGCATCAAGCAAGCCACACACGACCCATGCTTTGGGGCATGGCTTAGACTTAGAGTTCTGGAAATGATAGCAGCAAGGAGCGGAGAAACGGCAGAAAACATGCACAGTGTTTGCTAGTTGTAAAAAGCTCTCCGGCGCCTCCAAAGCAGGCTTCCTACAGTGGCCTTGAAACGGATGTTGGCACATCACCAACTCATTGTCTTTTCTGGCCTTTTGTAGTGTCGGCTTTCCATGTTTTTTGGGTTCCTCCATGTCGCAAGGTCCTGAACCCCTAACTGGTCCAGACTAGAGCCCTGAACGAGCACATCGCGCTGCAGAGGAACGTTACCCAAGTTACAGCCTCCACGAAACCCATGAACCGAAAAGATGCCATCAAAAGGGGTTGGATTCTGGAACTCTGCACTGTCTGGACTTTGCCTCCCCGAAGGGCACCACCATTTCGGTCTTCAGGCGGACAAGGCACTTCTGGAGCCTCCGCAATTCACACGCTCTTGCCGCTTTTTTCATCCCAGGTATGGGCAACATTAGGTTGGGGATGATCGAAGTGAATAATTTTCAGAAACTTGTTATGTTTGTAGGACATGCCTGGCGTGCCTATGGCCACTTCTCGAGCGGGGTAGGGGGGGGTGTTTGGTAACACACACTTCTGAGTCTTCGAAAGGGGGCTGCTCCAGGAGACCCACTAAACAGTTCCTGTCACCTTGTGAGCCCATCTCCCCTCGTGAGCTACAACCCGGCAAGACTTTCCAGAGGCTGCTGCCAAGCGAAGGTTGCCAGGAACCACGTCCAGTGGCCCTCACCTCCGGGCCATCAGGGGAAAAGGACTTACTGCCTCAAGGTTCCAAGGTGAGTTTCTTAGTTTCCCAAACAGTGTGACAACATGCAGGGCGTGCCTTCTCTCGTGCCTTCCTGGCGTCCTTCCTTCCATTCCCCCTTCCTGTTCATCCCTTGCCTCCATTGTTTTCTTTCTTTCCTTCCTCGGTTCCTACCTTCCCTCTCACCCTTCCTTCGCCCATTCCTTCCTCCCTTCCTTCTTTCCTTCCATCCTTGGTGGGTCTTATCCGGCCCGCAGTCCCCCCCTCCTCCGCTTGTAGATGTGATTTGTTGTAGTTTGGGGTCAAGCCAACCAACGAAAACCCACAACTCGCACGACCACCATTGGCAACGTCACCCCTGCATTCCGCAAAATCCTAAACCCTATTAATCCCTAAACCCTAAACCCTAAACCCGCAAAATCAGCGCCAAAAAGAGCCAGGCCTAGCACTTGCGCTGCTTTCTCGCGGAGCTTCCCTGACAAGGCTTGCAAAAGGCATTCCTTCTTGGTGGCCAACTGACTCGACATCCCGAACACCGATGCTGGGCTGTCTTTTCATCGAACAAAATGATACAAAATGGCTTGAGGAAAAAAGCTCTGGCACAAGATGCAAAACAACCTACTTGGAACGGAACGAGACGGAATAAGTGTGCTCCAACACCGACATCACACGATCCAAGCAAGAGTTTCGAAAGTCTCCTTTCAGGATGCTCCAGCTTGCTTTCGCTTGCTGTCACATCTGCCTTGCTAGTTCCGCCCCCTGCAAGAATCAACTAAATGTCGTCGTCGGGAAGATGTCAGAATTCGTCAAGCTTGCAGCATTTGCAGGCCATGGGTTCAGCATTTTCCCTCTTCGACTGCATAAAGATAAGGCAGGGGCAATGACTCAAAAAGCTTGGTCCCCCTGCGAAGGCTTTCTGCCTCAGCTGAACCGCGCCAGGAAGCTGAAGAAGGAGGATGTCTAGCTTGGGGTCGGGTTGGGGGTTGAGCAGCTACATTCCCACATTCATCACGACAGCTTGAACCCCTCAGTTTGACCCACCTGAAGCAGAAAACCTTCCATCTGTCCTTCACAACGCCACGGCCAAACCGAACCCAGAATCCCAACCCTGATTTGGGCTTGTAAGTAGCTTGTCAATCCACCTAAACGAATTAAACTCTGGCCAAGCAGCATCCTCGGCAGCTGTCCTCGGAGGCCCCTGCATATACCGCGGCCTCAAGGCGACACGGACATTATGGTGGTGAACTGTACGCAACGGCTTCACACACCAAAGCCGGATGCCTGGAATCCTCACACCTTGAACGAGAACCTATTCCCCATTGTCCCGTTGCCCCCTGCCCCTTCGAAACTGCGCTCCCCCACACGAGGCTGGCTAGCTCCTCCTCTGTGGAAAGAGGCAGCTCCGCCTCGGCTGTCGGGTGCTTTCGGAACTTTCGGGTGTTAAGGGTTTGGGGTTTAGGGTTTAGGGTTTAGGGTTTTGGGTTTGGGGTTTTGGGTTGTGAGTTTCAGGATGTTCAGGTAGGGGTAAGTCCTTGGCACATAGGAGCTTTTGAGGCGTTGGGATCTGGCGCGTTAGCATGGTTTAGCACAACCAATGGGCTCAAATGGGCAAGTCCACAACTTCAAACAACCGACCCAACACTTTTTTCAGGGCAATT